GTTCAGCAAGTTCTTAGACTTTCATTTTGGCAAGTAAGCATTACTCACCAAGTTTCTATTACCTATAGAGTACATATATTTTGTTGTTGCTGTTTTGGCCTGCAACATCCAGCCGACTTCCTGACACACATTCTGGAGACCTAATCTCATTCCGGGGCATGTAGTTAGTCTTTGACAAAAGCATCTCGTTTTTCTGCTTTTCTTGTTCCTGGAAGAGACCTAAGTCACTCAAAGGTCCCAAAGCCTGTCATGGCAGTTCTCAGACTAAGCAGGTCCTAACATTGCTTCTCTCTAAGGCTCTTTTAAGCTCAAAGCTAAAGTTTTAAGTTCAGAAGCTAATTTTTTAGCCTGAGGGCCCGAAGCTAAAGATTTAGCTGATACCCAGAACAGGGTTATTGTACTCTTTTTCCAGTCAAACAGCTGTGGGATAAAATTTGTACAGAGGTGAAATTTGCAGCTTCCTTTACCCCCAACCCTCCAGTCAGCAATAAAAGAACACAAACCTGCAAATCCTCTTGACTATGAGTCAGTGCCATCCACATCTTCCAGTGCATCACTTTGACCAGGGCAGAGAACCAGGCAACCCTGACCCCTGCAGCATTGTCAGACTTCTAATATCACATCCCTTGATGAATCTTTGAGTCTGCTCAAGGGTTACTCCTGGCTCTGCACTCAGGAATTATCTCTGGCGGTGTTCAGGGGACCACCTGAGGATCAAACCTGGTGGGCTTCATGCAAGGCAAACAAACTCCCTACCCACTGTACTATCGCTCCAGCCCCGACTCCTTGAGTCTTGATGTGAATGTCCTCCATCTTAAATGTTTCCTGCTTTAGTTGATTTAAGTCACTTGCCTATTAAGTCACATGGTCAACCCCTATTCAATCAATGCCCAGCACTGCATATGATTTTTTGAGCACCTCCAGGACTGACCCCTGAGCACAGTGCCACTAGTTAGTCCTGAGCACCTCTGGGTATGATCCCCCCATCTCCCACCCCGGCCCAAGAAAACCCCCAAAGACAAAATAAAACACAAAAACAGTTGTTTGAATGCACAAATGCAGCCTGACATCCCCCAAGTCTGTGAACCCAGCAAGGGGGAAAAATTAAAATAAAAAGAGAAAATATTTAGCCTCACTCAGGCTCATGGAATGTGCTGGGCCTTGGTCAGACTTTGCATGGGGCCATTGTGCTTTGAAGGTCCTTTACCTGCGAAGACTAGGAAAACAAGCTGAGCATTCCTGCTGGAAAGTGGTTTCATTTGCCTTAGGGAAATTTTTATGCCAGACAGTCTGAGAGCTCTATGATGGAGTTTGTGAAACAGCGTGTGACTCTGTGTGCCTGTTGGGAAGCATGTGTACATGACAGAAATATCACTCACTGTAACGAGGCACCTGCTGTAAGGCATGGGGGCAAGATCTCCAACATTCCCCCTCCGCAAGGTGAGAGGCCGTGGCAATGTATAGAAAGTTTGATCATTTGTTCTCCAGATCGTTTGCTCTCCTCATTAACTTTAGACTAATGAGGAACTAAAGGCAATTGCCACACTCCTGATCATATGCCCCCAGTCCAGTCACTTTTCAAACACAGATGATTCCGTTCCTAGCTGGTAAGTAGGGAAAACAAACTTGAGCTTTGTTTATGCCACTTTTATGATCTCCCTTTGGCATTTTTGAGTGTGTAACTGAGCCATGGCCTGGCCGTAAGGATACTTGGATTCCTACGCAGGCAAAGTCAGCCACTTCTCTGAGCCAAGGAAGGTAAGTAGCAGCTGGGAGTGGGAAGGCTATTAAGAGGGAGGGTGAAAATGAGCAATTATAAGTGCATGAGTGGAGCTAGGTGTCTTCCAAGTCAGAATCTGACTGATTCAGTGCTTGGATTCCTTCCTTTTAGTATTAAGGTGGGTATTCTAAGGACAAGAAGCCTCAATAGCAATAATGTTTTATGTGTTATAAATTGTCTTGGGTTGTAGTAAAACTAGATTTTTAGAGGGGGGAGCATGCTGGAGATTGAATCCTGGGTCTCACACACATGAGGTGTGTTTTCTGTCACTGAATCACATCATCAGCCATAAAAATTACCATTTTGAAAAATAATCTAACTACCCATAAGTAGAGTTAGCTAGATAAATAGTAGTGTATCTCTAACACATGGAAGTCCATGTGATTGTTTCAAATAATAAGTGAGATTTGTTTGTTCTGGTGAAAGATAATTGCTAAAAATGTATTTTAAAAACCCAAGTATCAAATCCACACTTAGTAATGTTTCAATTCAATAATAGTCTCTCGGTATTTATTAAATTTTTAGTTAATGATTAATTAATGATTTTCTATTAATCATGTTGTTATGAAAATGAAATAAGAAAAATGAAAGGCTCGAGAGAAGTACGATGTCCTAAAATTTGGAAAGACAAAGTTGGTTGTCCTTGGAGCTGAGCATTGACACATGAACCTGCTTGTAGCTGGGCCTGTTTTTCAAAGCTTGGTGACAGCAATAAGTGCTTCAGTCCTCCCCACCCCCATCTCTTGTCTCCTGCTTTCTCCAGCTCTAAACAGGGCTGTAACCCTGGACCCTTGTGAAATGCATAAATCCTGAAGGGAGGAGACAGAGGCTCCTGAGGGAACATGCGCCATGCTCAGGAACCATTCCCTGCTCTTCCCTGTCAGAAATGGTTGATCCTGGCTTGTTGTGTGATTGAAGAACCAACCTGGAGCTTTGTTGTTTTAATTCTTCTTGATAAGAAAAGGTTACAGCAAGTTTGAAACTCTGACAGGGCTAAGTAAACAACTTTCAGGACTTAGTCCACCAAGTAAACTTTTATAGGCAGGGAGTTCCTTAAATAAAATCAAGAACTAGTTAAAATGTTTTGCTCTCAGTTTAGATGAATAAGGATGAATGAAAAGTACAATTTTCTGTACTTTAGGGTACTAAATTTACATATAATCCCCCCCTTATTTTAATTTTTTTTGCCTTGGGCCACACCCAGTAGTGCTCAGGGCTTACTCCTGGCTTTATGCTCAGGGGTATCTTCTGGCAGTGTGGTGCTGTGGATTGAACCCGGGTCAGCTGCATGCAAGGCAAATAAATGCCTTAGCCTCTATTCTATCTTTTTGGGTGAAAACCTCCCTTTAGTAATCAAATCATTTTCTGTTTTATAATGATGAACTGGACATCATGGGAAAAGGTGGAGTGGAGAGGCCAGGTAGTGATTTTTCTGGCCCGATGTATCTTTGAAGATCTGCTCAGCAATATCTTTCCTTTCAGTTCAGCCCATTCTACCAACCCTTCTTCAACTGTCATCCTTTGCAAATTTTTCTTCAAGACTTTCTGGCAACGCCCACACAGAATCAGTAATATGTCCAGGAATAATTCAAGGACTAGAGGAAGGAAAGGACTTAGTGAGCTCTCCCACCACCTTTTCTTGTACTCTTTGAGGTGATTTGAACATTGAAGGGAACCTTTCATCATTTGGAGTTGGGCCCTGGTTGAGTCTAGTTATTACACTTGATCTTAGCCAAAAGGCCGAGAAGCAATAGGTTGAGTCTAGTTATGAACTGTCCTGAAAACCCTTCTTGATGCTCAGTTAATTTGATTGCTTCTGTTAGAAAGAATCAAAATTCTTCAGTCTAGCATCTCAGACAGATGTGGGGGTCACTGCAGGGTGGGGAAGGAGGAGGGGTTAGTGGTTTCTGTCTTTGTAAGTGTTTATACTTTGGTGATCAAATCTTATATTGATTTTCAGAGAGTTATGCAAGTCCCATTAAAAAAGCACCATGGGCAGATGAGTTCAAGGAGGCGTGGAGGGGGAAGGGAGGAGAAATAAGCCTACCAGCCGTGTTTGTAGAGTGGGTGACATTGAGGAAGTAATATACATAGGAAGGTCCACAGAACAGCCTAATCAACACTCCCATCTATTAATAAACACTCCCTCACTTTCTCTTTTCCCTCACTGCTTTCACTGGAAGTAAAATAGCTTTGAAGATAATAATCTCAGTCTCCCCTTGAACTAGAAAGAGATCTAAATATGTTTACATAATACCCCAAACAGGGATCATTTCTACTTCACCACAATGCCGAGTCCTTGATCCTTCCAGCACTGCTTCAGATTCATCCTTGATGCATCAGAATCATCAGGGTGCTTTGGAAAGATTGATATTTAAAACCTACCATAAATTGACTCAATTTTCTGTGCCTTACAGATCTGCATTTCTGAGAAGGTCCTATAGGCGTCTTACTCACAGCATTTGAGAACTTTGACTTGATGGCCTAGTCAAAGCCATACTAGTGTTAGTAGTGAGCCCCCTGTAATCCGTCTCAGTGCTATTTAGATTCTTTTTGAATAAGAAATGCTTCAGTAAATGTGCTGTTTTAGAAAATGGATGGTATGCATGTCATGTGCTAATTATGACCAGTGACACCATAAAATAAAAGTGCATTACTGAATGCTTTCAGTGTCTTATAATGATGGGAAGGTGGCTTGTCATTGAGCCTTTTTAGCCTCAGACATCACTCCAGAGAATTTCAAACAGATATAGACAAGGGCCATTCAGACCCGGATGCTTTTCTCTCAGTCTGTTTACTCACGGGAATAGGATGTCCCAAAGCAACACTTCCCCTAAGTGAAGTGTTGATAAGTCTGCTTATCAGAAAGATATTATTGGGAGTGTGATTTGCAGGACGTTTACATTTTCTTGATAGGGTTAGTCATATGAAAGCTGACAAAGAAGGAAAAAGAGCAGTGTTGTGGTGCAATATCAACAGACAGCTGTCCTCTGGCTTCTCGATAACTAGGATGACTTGCATTGCTGAGCGATGTGGTCACTGCCAAAGGAATGGCCCTCTCACATTTCTCCCTGATTCACATATTCAGTGGGGTTACTTGGCATCCCCTCCCTTTTCTGCTTCCCAGACACTGAGTCTGGGATGAAAATTCACCTGCCTCTGAGTTGGCCAGCGGTGGGGGCGGGGTGTTACTTGGGTTCCCAGGTTGGAAGATTATCTCACCGGTTCCTCGCTATATAAGCTGACCAGTGGGGAGGGGTGCAGAGGGCCGACTCAAGGGACTCAGTCCACAGGAAAAAGGCATACAGACCAACTTCAGGCTGGCATGATGGTTCTCAAAGTAGAAGAGCTGGTATGTATGTAAGACACATTATTTTTACATGATGAAAACTGGTTCCGTCTTGATTTTTATTTGAAAACTGGAAATACCCCTTTCTTTCAGGCACAATGCACAGGTGCTCTGAAAATTTCATATATGGGAAATGGCCAGTTTATGTGGTGAAATCAATAACAATGAAAACAATGGAGATTGTGTTAGTGAATTCTCTACATATTTTCTGTTTATTATCTTCTCTTTTGGTTTATTACTAAACTGTGGATTCACATGTAATTTTAAAAGTGCCTGAGGAAGATGTTCTATTGCAAAAATAAATGTTTGGGAACTTATAACTCAAGGCCGAGAATCATTAAAAGTACTAAAATGGATTGGTTATTTGTTTGTTTGGGGGGGGACATATCCAGTTGTGCTCAGAGCTGACTCCAGGCTCAGTGTTCAGGGATCGCTTCTGGTGAGGGGACCAGATGTAGTGCCAGGTATCAAATCTGGGTTGGCTGTATGCTGGACAAGTGCCATACCCACTGCACTATCTCTCCAGCCCATAATTTGTAAATAATATGAGGATTATTATTATCTCCCTAGTAGAAATGTGATTAAGTAAATGAAAAGTAGATTTAAAATATGAATCTTGCCCAAGTCGTAGTTTGAACAAGAGGGCAGGTGTCCAGAGGTAATCCTTGGTAATGGTAACAATGTGTTCAGCCTGAGACTATGCTGCCTGGAACATTGTGACCAGAGAGGGAGAACCAGGTACCTCCTGCAGCATAACCTACAGAGAATGACCCATAACAGGTCCTTTTCCTTCTGACCCCATCATCTTTCCTCATAGGTTGCAGGGAAGAAGAACGGCAGTGGAGACTTGGGGGAGTTTCTTCCTGGGGATTTCAGAGATGGAGAGTATGAAACTGCAGTAACTTTAGAAAAGCAAGAGGACCTGAAAACACTTCCAGTCCACTCTATGAGCCTAGGGGAGAAACAGTTGAAAACTGAGAAACAACGAGAGGCAGAGGTAAGAAGACACTGTGGAATCCCCAAGTTGGAGGTGGACTTGGGTAGAGGACAGAGGTGCCAGGTGAGAAGAAGAAAAGAGGAACCAAATAAATACCAGAACTGAAAAGCTGTCTCTTGATCAAGTTTTAATCCATAGAGAGGTCCCTCCGATGGGACAGTTTGTGGGCATTAGATCTGTGAAAAGACAATGACTTTGGGATCCTGAAACAGTGTTCAGATATTCTATGACTTAGAAATGAAAAGCACGAGTTAGCTATAGTCTCGAGATTGTTCCACACACCCAGCTTGGTGGGTCACCTGACAGTAATATTTCAGAACTTAACTCTTTTTATTGAATTATTGTGCATGATGAAAAAATAATTCTATACATATTTGGGTTTTTCTTATGGCAGTAATTATAAATTCATTGGAATCTAGATCCTATCACTAATTTGTCAAAAGCCAAAGGTAAGTGAAGTGAAAATGAAGGTAGTGAGCTGAAAAATTACACCCCCCCAAAATACTTGAATATGAAATCGCTATATTAAAGTCAAAGATTTTTTTTCACATTTTCCTCAAATGGTTCGCATACTAATTTCAAAACTTGCAGATTTCAGCAAGACATGACCAGAATGTTTGTCAGTAGAACTCATCATATTTTGAAATATGATTTCCTTTTTAGCTCAAGAAGAAAAAACTAGAACAACGATCAAAGCTTGAAAATTTAGAAGACCTTGAAGTAATCATTCAATTGAAGAAAAGGAAAAAATATAAGAAAACAAAAGTTCCAATTGTAAAGGAACCTGAACCAGAAGTCATTGTAAGGGCTCTTTGGGTTTGAAGCATTACCCGTCCAGTGTTATGCTTCAGAGGAATAAATATTTGTGGGGTAATGACTCAGTGTTGGGAATCTCATGTTAACTCTCACACTATTTTTTTGGCTTTAGACAGAACCGGTGGATGTGCCTAGGTTTCTGAAGGCTGCCCTGGAGAATAATCTGCCAGTAGTAGAAAAATTCCTGTCAGACAAAAACAATCCAGATGTCTGTGATGAGGTAAAGCTCATACAAAGCACTGCAAAACCCAGCTCATTAATTCTGTGTCTCTTATGCCTTACTGTAGCCATGCTAATATGGTGCCAAAAATCAGTCCACCTGAAACAGTTCCCCCAGCTGTTGCCACATATGCCAGCAGCATAATAGCAGAGTGCAGTGGTCCAAAAAAAATGCTGTATTCATACTGTGGATTGCATCACTCTTGCACTCATAAACTTCTGTCTGATTTTTCAGTTTGTCTTTAACTATTTAAATCCTTGTTATAGACTTTTAAGAGGACTGGACCAACAAGGGCATTGGCTGATGAATGGCATCATCTTTGACTGGACCCAAACACATTAAGTCTAGACAGGGAATCTAGAGACAAGAGTTCAGTTTTATCATTACTTATTTTCTTTTTAGTATTAATTTTTGAATTTTGAACCTCAGTTTCTTTTTTCTTTCTTTGTAAATAGAAGGCATTGCTTTTTGATTATGCCTAACGTTCTTCTAACTCACATGGTCTTTAATCCTTTCATAGAAAGCCAATTTACCAGGGAAAAGAATGGAGAATCACTTCTGAAGCAAAATTTTTAAAAAAATGCAACTCCCTTGTTTAAAAAATGAATAGAATACTTTTTTTTTTTTGCTTTTTTGGGTCACACCTGGCGATACACAGGGGTTACTCCTGGCTTTGTATTCAGGAATTACTCCTGGCGGTGCTCAGGGGACCACATAGGATGCTGGGAATCGAACCTGTGTCGGCCACGTGCAAGGCAAACGCCCTACCTGCTGTACTGTTGCTCCAGTCCCTAGAATACTTTTTGATACTCAACTTACCAATAATCACAAAGGAAAGAAGCTGTTCAATTTGTATGGTGTATGCCACACAATGAATGTGCAAAATTCAAAAAAGGGAAATATCAGAGTTTAGCAAGTTTCACAGGTTTGAAGTCACCCAACTTTATGTAGACCTTCAAGCATTTCGAGATGTGTGTAACAGAAATCTCAAATCTCAGGTGCAGGGTAACTGTTCCAGTTCTGCAATTTTAGAAAATTTTATATTTCTAATTTATAAGCAGCACCACCAGTTAGATTCATCAGAGTCCCCAGAATATACCTCTTGGAAAGGATTTGTCCACATTTTTATATGCATTGCTCTAATCTTTTTAAAAACATCTCTATTCTGGCAGTATAAACGGACAGCTCTTCATAGAGCATGCTTGGAAGGCCATTTGACAATTGTGGAGAAGTTAATGGAAGCTGGAGCCCAGATCGAATTCCGTGATATGGTAAATATGTTTCTTTGCTTGGAAATGAGCCAAAATAAATAGGCTATATGAAACTTGAGAAAAATTCCTACAGTGAAAAACTGTGATGACTGGATTGAAAATTGATCTCAGTGAACTAGGCAAAAAGCTCATTACTCTATAAAAAGAAAAGTTGGAAGATGGCACTGGGTCGTGTGAAAATATTTTCCATACATGTGGAAATGGAGAGGAGTGTTCCAGGGGAATGAAGGAAGTGAAAATTGTTAAAAAGAATTCATGCCTCACTGGAGAGTTGGGTCATTATCAAAAAAGTAGCATTACTACTGATAAGTAACAAAGTTGTCACTTGCCTTTCAACATCCCTGCCCTTCTGTTCTACATGACAGTCAGCTTGTGGTCCCTTGGCAGCCAGCAACGTATTGGAATTCTCTAGCTACACACTTTAGATGATAGATGTCGGTTGCCATCCAGGAGATTTGGGGCTTGACTGCATACTAAATGAATTGCATCTATGAAAAGTAGTTGCTCTTCAGACCTTAATCATTCAGCCAGTGTAATTTCTACAAAGGCCAGTATACAGCATATTTTATGAACTGAAAGTTGAGCTCAGAAAATGCTTTATTTATTCAAATGTAGTTCAGTTCGACTTTATAGAAAAGTGGAAAAGAGTTATCAAAAAGTCCAAAGGAGTTGGCCAAAATTAAATTCAAAAGATAAAAACTTCATGAAGGACCTAAGAAAGTTTGCATGGAAAGATATTCAAACTCATGTGTGGGATTTGGAAGGCAGGGATGTACTGAGTAGAATAATGAAGACAGACTCTCCTGAGTGTAGATACAATATGTGGTGAGCACAACTGATGGAGGGACAAAGGCACAAAATAACAATGGAGAAACAGAAAGAAATGGAAAGGAGATCGGGGCCCAGAAAGAGGTGTTAGATGCAGGTGAAGCTCTTTTGGATCTACATTTTTGTTTCATTAAGCTACACCTGGCAGTGTGCAGAGCTCACTGCTGAGCTTAGGGATCACTCCTGGTGAGCTCAGGAGACCAAGTCTGTCAAAATCAAGGCAAGCACCCTAATCATTGTACTATCTCTCTGGCCCCACGAGAAGGGACTACTTTTATTCTGCCATGTTTTAAAATCCATTTTTCTGGAACTTTATCAAATATTTTGTAAAATTAAAGTTCCAGGCAGAGACTCAGTGGTAGAAGAGATGCCTTGCTTATGTGAGGTTCGAATCCATCACCAAGCACACAAAATAAAAATTCCAGGCAGATGTGAGGTTGAATATTTAATGTCACTTACTGTGTTTGCTTGGATAAGAAACTAGAATACTATGGATCCTTGTTTTTCTCATCTGAAAAATGAACACAATCTAATACCTGCCTTAGATATTTCCAGGCAGAAAATTTCTTCTAGAGCATGAAACACCATGTGGGCATAAGAAGATTCTTTTTAAAATTGTGATTGTTATTCTATGAAAAAAAATTTGAGTATCAAGAACTTTCTAACTTTTTAACACAGGCACATGTATGCACAAATATACATACATGTAAGTGCAGACATACACTCCCATTCACACGCATAAGGTTTAGCTAAACCATTCGGCCAGTTAGGATTAGCAATACTGGTGAGGCCAAGACAGTATAATCACTGATGCCTAGCAAAGCCAGGCCTTAGAATCCAAATATTCATGGATGTGAATCAAGTTCTCCTTTATATTAGGTCATGTCCTCTTTTCTTTCTGGTATAGCTCGAATCCACGGCCCTCCACTGGGCAAGTCGCGGAGGAAACCTGGATGTCTTAAAATTATTGCTGAACAAAGGAGCAAAAATCAGTGCCCGGGATAAGGTGATTTTTCTCTTCTCTTCCCCTCCACTTTCCTCCTCCTTGTTCTGGACCTCCTGCCCAGTTTTTTAAACCCCCACCCCCCCAAGTCTCCTCTTTCTGCTCTGTTCCTCCTTTTCCTTCTGGGTGGATAAGTAGCCTTAGACTCTGGGGCATCCTCTGGCCGGAGATTCAATATCACTGTTCCATTTCAGTTGCTCAGCACAGCGCTGCATGTGGCGGTGAGAACTGGCCACTATGAATGCGCAGAGCATCTCATCGCCTGCGAGGCGGACCTCAACCCTAAAGATCGAGTGAGTACTGTGGCTTAGTCCCTCTCTTACTTGACTTGGAAATCATTTGGGTGCTCTTGCAAGGCTACTTGGCCACTGGCCCACCTTTACTGTTTACTCTGCCCTTCTAGGAAGGAGATACCCCCCTGCACGACGCAGTGAGACTGAATCGGTACAAAATGATCAGACTCCTAATCATGTATGGCGCAGACCTCAAGGCCAAGAATTGTGTAAGTGCATGCTCCAGACAAGGGGTCTCCCAGTGGGCTTTTTAACTCACAAAAGCACGGCTTTCACACTTGAAAATATTTCTATCAGGATAACTTTTTGTTGGTTTTAATGTCATCTGCATTTCCATTTGGGTCTCTGTAAGGACTAGGCAAGGACTCTGGGGGCCAAGGATGACTGGTCAGTAGGAGGGTTAGTACCAAATAGAACAGTCATTCTTTTAAAAATTTGACCTGGAAAAATAAAGAATAGACACATTACTCATCTAGACAAACATACGCATAATCGGTCTCAGCTGTACCTGGTCTAAATGTCAACTGTGATTGATGAAGCACTGGATGAATGAATTCAAATTAATTAATCTCCTACCTGAGTAATTCTGAATATCCCTCCCCTCCTTACATAGCATCATTTTCGTCCAGAGGTGGCCATGCTTTTGCCTTTATTTTAAAGATAATTTCCATCCATCTCTACTTTGGTTTATCTGCATATCTCTCAAAATAATTTTCTATATTTAGGCCCTGAAAATTCTTGTATAAGTCTCTTCTACAAGTATATTTTAATTTAGCTTCATCTGTAAGCAGGGAACGTAACCAACTTTTCCTCATGGCCCCAATTCCCCAGCAAATATCTAATACGAGCTTTAAAAATAACACCCAGAGGAATGAGTGTAAATTACAGAAGAATAATTTGAAAGAAGTTTTTTGAGAATTGCTTTACAAAAAAGAAATAGAAAACCCTAGTCATTTTATAGTATGAATGATTTCTTACCTTATTGTGTTACTATGAGAATGAGAAAAATATTTTATTTAAAAAATTCAGCAGGAGGCAAGGAGTTAGCAATTGGAGTTCCCTATCCTTCCATCTTTGATGTTGGGATTGGTCTCATCTCATCATTGAAATACATCATCAGAAAAGGAGTAGAGTCAATAAAATTTCTCCAATTACAAAAAATATGATATCTTTTCTCAGGCACTGAGGCATTACCAACAGAGATAAATGGCCTGCACATTTGGAGAGATTGTGGAAGTAGCCAGAAAGTCAGGAGATAAATTTCAATAGAGAGAAGTGCAAAAACAGTTAAAAATTACAAAGAGGGTCCATAAGTTATCAGTTTCATTCAATTATTAGAGTTCTATTAGGAACTACTAATGTAACTGATTCAATGGACAAATGCCACCCAATAGATGCTATTTTTGAGTTGTTTCAGAGTATTGTAAGCAACACATGATTCTATCATTGTTCCAAAGTCTGATTTCAAATCTGCTGATGACTGTTTCTCAAGGAATAGACAACAGAGGTAGGGAAGTTCCAAAATGAAGGTTACAGGACCACCAGAACAAACACATAGAGGCTGTGGGTTCTGTGTGGTTCACTTTTAAAAAATGGTGGCCCTCCCCTGAAACAATCTACTATTAGAATAGTTTCATGTTGCCAAACTTGTCTGATTACTTTTCATTCACATCACAAACTGTGCTGGGAAATTTCTTGATTCCCAGTTGTAGCCTATTAACTTAAGTTCTATTAGGCACAAAACAAAACAGATCTTGAAACTGACAGACTCTGAAAGCTAGTTATTTATAAGCTTTAAAGACTTTGAATGAATAGAAATTTTTTAAACATTTGGACTTCTCATATCTAAAGACAAGAACGGCAAAGTGACATGGTTTTCATTTTTGGAAATATCTTAAGAGATATGCACAAGAGAAATTAAAATATAGACTAAAAATTTATTCACACGTCACTGATATCACCGCCAACAAAAATAGATTTCCTAGGAAAACCCAATGTCAATTCTGAGAATTTGTGAAAAATCTACCTCCCCCAACACAATGGTACCTGGTTCTCATGCCAGGAGTTTGAAGTTGCTCATTTACCATCAATCAAGAACACATTTTCCAAACTGGTCACAACTGAATTTGATTAAGATTTCCTTCTAGCACCAATTCTGCAGAACACAGGTGCTGAATATCTATCTTACCATCTATATATTTTTTTAAAAAATCTGTGTGTTCTTGCCACTTTATATCTAGGGAGTCGTGACTTTATTATCTGTTATCATTTAAAAAAAAAATACCTGGAATAAGTCCAGTGTGTGAAATGCTGATCTGAAATGCCAAAAGCACTTTCATGAGAAACAGTAAAGTGCTGTTTTGAATATAATGTGCGAGTAACTCCTGGTAGAAATTGTGAAACGTGTCAACAACATAGACCAATGCATTACCACATTAAACACACATGGAGGGGATATGAATTTATAGATGTCTCCCATCTGAAAGTTCCATTTCTTTACCTGTTTCAATTAGGCTGGGAAGACTCCCATGGATTTGGTCCTACACTGGCAGAACGGCACCAAAGCAATATTTGACAGCCTTCGAGAGAACTCCTACAAGACCTCTCGCATAGCCACATTCTGAGGATACCACGACTCTTTGCTAGTGATCACCACTGGCATTTTGAAGGCACGACCCCGAGAAGAACACCCACTCGTAAAATCCAGCCTCTGTTTATTATCCTAATATAAAGCTATACTTAATGAAGTTTGGAGAAAGCACAGCAGTATAGGTATTAACATTTCCTGCAATGAAACTCACAATATTTATTTGTACTTATTACTATTTATTTTACTCTGGTGATGCCTGATATTCAGATCCTTCACGGTCACTCATCTGGTAAGAAAGCTGAGTTTGTATGCAACACTTCAGAGGCTTCCCGTAGATTGTCTTTAAACCACATTAACGAGTAATACAGTGACACTGGGCTCACATAAGATAATTTCAAGGTGTTTTTGAAAAGATGGCATTCCTTTTTTCTCTTGGATTTAATGCTTAAGTTTGAGGCATGTTGTGGCAGGAAAGGAAATGGAATGTGACGCTGTGAGGAGGACAGGAAAGCCAGCTGCGTAATATCTGGATCAGGTATTTCTTTTTTAATTTGGGGGATTTGGGGCCACGTCTGGCTGTGCTCAGGAGTGACCCCTAGTGGTGCTTGGAGGAACCATATGTGGTGCCGGAGATTTGAATCAGGTCCAGGGGATGTAAGAGGAAGAAACTTAACCCCTCTTCTATCTTTCTTGTCCTGTATCTGGTTCTTCTTGCTAAGTCTGGACCTGCAGTAGGGTCAAGAGAACATCCAGTGTGTGAGTGATGGAAGGAATAGAGCCATGCAAAGGGATTTGCTTGAAACAGATGAAAGTAACTGCAGATTGTAAATGTGTAAATGTATATTATGTTGTATGTATATTTTATATTCATAATAAAAGCAAATCACTTCTAACTCTTTCTAAGTACCTCTGTACATGTAGGTGGGTTCATGGACACAGGTCCTTTAGATGGGGTTTTTATCTTTGTGTAGCAAGTTTTTTACATTAGAATGCCCTATAGGAGATCATGTCTCAGTATTCTTTTGCTTGTCAACATCACCTGAAGATCTTGTTAAAATGCAGATTCTGATTCTGCTAGTTTTGAATGGGGCCTGAAGCTTCTGCCTTTCAGACAAGCTCCCAGTTGATGCAGAGGCGGCAGCATGCCTCAGCCACTCCCAAAACAGCAGAGCTGTGAAAACCATATAGGTACAGAGGAATTCTGGCCCAAATGATGTGAAGAAAGAGACCCCTGGTGGGTGGTATGGTTACTGCGGATTAAACTAGAGCTCCTTCCCCTGGGGCTGAGGCTGACAGGGTCAGAGGCCACCCACACACAAAATTTTATCCAGTACATTTTGGGGGCCATGGGTTGGGGGATTTCAATTTTAAGAGAAAACCTGATTTTTTTTTCTTGTTGTGTCCTGACTTCCCTGGAATAGATGATTAAAAGCACACACACAGTAATATACTGATTTTCTATGGTAAGTACAATGAAGGAAAAATAAAGCATTCTGAGAATCTAAAACTCAAGGAGGCATATTATTTGTGTGGGAGGGAGACTGGCTTTTTACAAAGACTTTTCAGGTAATGTCAAAGGATGGATCAAGTACTTCCCTTGGGCAACAGAATTTCATTCTCTGTTGGGAGCTTCCCCCCAGTTTCCTCGTGCCACCCCTCTATTCTTTATTTTTGGTTTTGGGGCAGCATCTGGCAGTGCTCAGGTGACCATATGTGGTGCTGAGGATCGAACTTGGTCACCTGCGTACAAGGCAAGCACCCTACCTGCTATACTACTGCTCTGGCTTCTCTCCGTTTTAAAGATCTGGCTCTAACCCATCGGATCTTTAAACTTCGTAGTTCTGTAATCAAATGATTTTCAAGTGAAACACTTATAACATACATTTCTTATTTACAGAACTGACATCTCTTCCACAGAAAAAATTCTATGTCCACAAGACCCCCTCCCATAAAAGGGGAGAGGAGTTATGGGGGAGAAGAATCAGGAATATAAACACGTTTGTGTCACCACATATAAATATCTGCCCGAGTAAAGAGGTAGAGATCAAGAGAGACATGAAATAAGTTTTATTAGAATAAGGCTAACTCTTAGCTCTACCAATGGAAAAGATAAACATTTCAGGCAAAAATCCCAAGATTCTGTGAATGGTGTTTGTTCACCTTTTTAAGTTCTTGTCTTCTGACCTGACTCAGTTCTTCACCCACAATTTACCTCATGCTCTTTCTCAGAGAGGTATTGATTTTTTAACTATAGCGATCCCTGGAAGTTGTTCTAGATGTTTCTTTTCCCCTCACCTTTTCAACCAGCATGTCTTCTCCTTCTCCTTCTCTCTCTTCCTCTTTTTTTTTTTTTTTTTGCTGCAGTAGTTGGGGGTCACCAGGGCTGCCTTCTGTGGTGCAGTACTCAGGAGGCATTCAGTGCCAAGATCAAACGCAGGGCTCTGCAGCATAGCATACGCTAGGCATGTGCTCTGCAGGCTTAGCTGTCTCTCAGGTACCACCAATCTCCTTTTCCAAAGACATTCCCCAGTAGCTCTGTAATCTGTTACTTCCTTCCATCCCAGGGACCCCTTTCCTAGTCCAGATCACCATGGAAGGTCCCTAGATCACTCACGTGGCCCTGACTGGGCACTGCTTCCACACCACAAAAACGAGAAAAAATAGGAGGGGATTCTTTTATTTAATATAATTATCCCATTGAAAAAAAAATATTTCCAAAGATGACTGCATCCAGTGCTTTGAATTTTTTTCTTTTTGGGTCACACCTGGCAAGGGTTACTTGTGGCTTTGCACTCAGGAATTACTCCTGGTGGTGCTCATGGGACCATATGGGATGCTGGAAATCGAACCCGGGTCGGCCACGTGCAAGGCAACTACCCTACCTGCTGTGTTATTGCCCCCAGTGCTTTGAAATTTTTACCAAAGCAATTAAGAAAATCAATTTAGGTTTCCAGGGGGCTGCCACTGAACAGAGGGAATCCTATTGAAGGACACCATGGAGGGCAGCAGAAGCCAAGAAGAAGTCAACTGTGATTTCCCCTAAACTTTCCTTTTCCTTCCACAGATTTTACGACAATTCCTTTTACAAAGCTTGACTACACAAATATACAATGAGAGGTGTAAATATAAAAAGAGATGGACTAAAACCTAAAAACCAAGAAAACCAATTATATTCTTAACATATTATCTTTAAGTAGTTCTCAAATAATTGAAGCTATGTATATCAATCAAGAATAGCAGAAATGCACACATTTTTGAATAAGAAATTTCTTAAAATTTTCAAAATTTTAACATATAAATTATTTAATACAGTTAGTAAATATTTATACAGTGTCCGCTATGTATTAGGAGTTGTTCCAATCATGTAGCTGTCAAGACTTGGTTCTGGCCCTCTAGCCAGGTATTATTATGTTAAATGCTCTTCTTTGGAGATTGCAGAAGGCACAGAGTGAATAAAAGCAGGAAGATGGAACTGATTTTATGCTTGGCAGCTTCTGTTCCTGGTGGTGCGTTGGAAATGTTTTGCGTTGGAAAACCTGGCAAAAACCTTTCAACATATAGATCATGATTTCTTCTTTTTATTAATTCCTTTCTCCTAGTTAATTTTTTTATGGAAGTACCTTGTCATTTTAACATTAAAGGAACATTTTAGTCTCCTGAAATACTGAAATAGATTCAGTTACAGCTGCTGTTTTATTATTTCTGCCAGAAATAAAGAAACTTGTCTCTGTTTTTTTAAAAGTATATTTACATCCAACTAATACAGTATTGTTTTTTAAACTCTTCACTGGACTGTTTGTTATTTTAATGGTTCTTAATATAAATTTTTTTTATAGACTACTGTTTTTAAGTTCCAAGTGAAAAAAGCGAAAACACTTTGTATGATTTACATACAAAGTGTAATGTCTACAGATGATGGCGTAAAAAAAAGGAAGAATGGAGTGAGGATGAAGGCTGGGCAGGAGGGGTCTTGTCAGACCTCACACTTGGCTTTTTTGCAGACCGGAAGAGAATCCTCATCTCCATCTGATGACCGAGGTTTCTTCACTGTGGAAATGATTCCAAAAGCAGTTTTTCTAGTTTCTGTAAAAAGAGAACCACAGTGCTTGAAATGAAATGATTATTAAAAAAGAGGTGGTTTAACAAGTATCCCCACGTTCCTTTGACATAGTGTTAATAAAGGATAAAACCATAATGACCCCTATGAATGCTGGTGCCATTTACTGGCATTATCTTTTTATTCCCAACATATAGCAATACCAGTATCTCAGCAACACTTAATTCATCCTTAAGGACTCCCTCAAAGGCAAACTGTAGGGCAGGTTACCTCGACTAGCTACCCCTGGCAACTTAACGGAAGTCACAGACCTTGGTGAAGCAGATGCTTTATGTATCGTTGAACCAAGACAGCAAGTCAATTATACGGTTCCCATGGTGATGTATGCACTCATTCATTTTCTAGCAGGCACCCTTTCCATCACCCTTACTAGAGAGTATCACTGTACTAGAGAATTCATCATATTGTACTGGCAATACCTAGAAATGATGCATTGTTGTGTAATGGGTATAAATATTTGTTGAATAAATGAAGAAAATCAAACAATTTAGCAATAGGTCAGGCACTGTGTTACCTACAGAGGAGATGCCTGATAGTGAATTTTCTGACTACACACTGAGATAAAAGCTCTGAGGTAAAAATAAATAGCAATGAAAGCACCACAAGAATAAACTCTGCCACTAGGAGGAAGAAAAAGGAAAAGAGAGACATAGTTCTTTGTAAAGGTACGGAGAGAGGGGTAAGAATTTAGTGTGTTTAGGGTTAATTCTCTAGTTAAAAATATTAGGTGGAAACTTGATCTTAAAAACTAGAGAGAGGGCTGGAGAAGTAGCATAGCGGGTAGAGCATTTGTCTTATATGCGAACCACCTGGGTTCGATTCCCAGCATCCATCGCATATGGTCCCCCAGCACTGCCAGGAGTAACTTCTGAGTGCAGAGCCAGGAGTAACCTATGCATCGCTGGGTGTGACCCCAAAAAGAAACAAACAAACTAGAGAGGGAAAAAGAGAGAAAGAGATTACATACAATGGAGGTAAAAACCAAAAGAACCTAAACTTGGCTGAGAATTCAATTACTGAAAGTAAATCCTAAAAGATTTAAAGCATTACCTTCACATTTATTGAAAATAATTTACCAACACCACTAAGCCTTTGCCAGTTCATCTTAATTATTTATTTTGCTTTACGGCCACACCAGTTATGCTTGGGATCTTCTCCTGGCTTGGTGCTGGGAAACCATGTGGTGCCAGGGAATGAACGTGGTTTCTCAAGCCCTTTGTCATTTCCCTGGCCCCTTTGTCAGTTACTCGAAAGCATGCTTTAATGTATAAGGGGAAAAAATTGTCTTCCAGAACATCAAAAAGCCAACATAATCAAAGAACCTCAAGTAGACAGAAATTGCTAATGATTTTATTTTTTCCCCCTTGGAAAACACTGTAAAAAGGTATTGGTGGCACATGAGCAAAGATCTGTACTAATGTGTGGGATCTGATAGTGAATGATTAGAACTAAATCATGCTTTGAGGATGGCTGAAATTGAGATGCAGATCCATCGGTTCTGGCCTTGAAAGATAACCCTTAACTAAACAATGGGAAGAAACTGGACTCCACTGATTCCAGATGATAAGGTTTCCAAGAATCATGCTGTGTTGGTTGTGAGGTTCAAATAAGCACCACAAAAAGAATATTATGTGTTGACTCAGAGGACAACTGAATTAAGCAGGATTGTCCGTGGGACAATCTGAAGATCAAGTTTCCATTTTCAGGGGAAGAAATCACAAAATGAAGTGGCTTAAATAAACAGCTACTCATTTTTAAATGATCTTGCCTATGTAACACAGAATCAAATACCTTTTAGATTTTAAAAAAAAAGATAGGGAACTGGAGCGAGGATTAGAGCAGGTAGGGCACTTGCCTTGAGAGTTGGGGATTCAATACCCAGCACTACACATGCTCTCCCAAGCACAGCAAGGAATGATCCCTGAGCACAGAGACAAGAGTAACCCCTAAGTACAAGTGGGTGTGGCTCAAAAAACAAACAAAAAAATTAAATATGGCTCAACTGTTGAACTAAAGTGATTGGCTTCTCCCATGTCCACGTGCTGTTTTAATTGGAAGAATGTTTGCTCACCTCCATGCAGAATGGCAGCTCGGCAGTTGCTGGACACTGCAGCCTTGGCATCATTTTCAGAAAGCCCGAACAGCAACCCTCTGAGGCAGTCATTAAGGATTTCAACCCAGAGTGAGCCAGGAAGACTAACACCAACATAACCAGAAACCGCCGGCTTGTCCGGTCACACAAGAAAGAAGCTGTCTAATTCGATAGCAGTTCTTAGCATAAATAAACAAGCAGTTTTTGTAACAGAATTCATTGTCCTTGCTTTTCTATCTCATTCATAATCCAGAAACCTCATGTAAGTTATTTTAGAAGCTACTAATGATAAACTCAAGAGTAAGTGGTTCAGAAAATATCTTGTTAACATATATATATATATATATATCAAATTCCAAATTTCATAAAAGAAAATTGTAACAGAAATTTCTCATCATTTCAAAAGGATACAAGTTTGCCACATCATATGGACCTCTTATTTCTAAAGGCTAAAATAAATGGGGGGGAAAAAAAAACCAGACGTGAGAGAAGTTACCCATAATTTAATCTGTAGTAAATTAGTAGGCCATTACACACCCAAACTAAGGAATCCATTGCATCAACTCAAGGCCTTTAATTTTGACTAGTTTCTTAACCCCCCCCTTTTTTTTTTGCTTTATGGATCACATCCAGCAATGCACACGGGTTACTCCCAGTTCTACACTCAGGAATCACTCCTGGCAGTGCTCAGGGGACCATACGGATGCTGAGAATCGAACCGAGGTCGGCTGCGTGCAAGGCAAACGCCCTAACTGCTGTGCTATCACTCCAGCCCCTCTTAATCTTTGAAAAATGTAAAATATCCTTGAAAAGTATTTTGCAATAGTATAAATAAAAATCTATATAAATACAACCAAAATGAAAAAAAAAAAGTTATTCTTTAGTAATTACAAAGAGAAAATGTAGTTAAAAGTAAAATTATGCAATAAACATTTATTACATTACTATTTAATTTCTTTCCTGGAAACTTTTCAAAGCTTTATAACTTAAAAAGTAGAAAAAAAGTACTTAATGCCAGACTTACTTTTTCTGCAGCACTAGATATAATTATATTCTACAAAACAGAAATGACCAATATTAATGTTCAATAAATGTAAAAAAAGATGAAGACTTATACAAATACCAGTAAAGACATTTCAATGTTTAAGACTCTATAAATAACACTTCTTTTAAAGGTAGGTTTAATTCAAAAAAAAAAAGAAGAAGAAGAAGAAGAAGAAAACTAGCTGAAAAGGTCATAAAGCCTCAATTCAACTCACTGATGACAAACAATTGTTATCTACCTATTCTTTTCACAGTGGGTAAATTTCAAATTCTTTACTGAAAGATAAAAGCTTTCAACATATCCTTTTCCTTCCTTGCATCACTCATTCTTTTGTTCCTCAAGAAATTCTGGCTTTAAAGGAAAAGGGAATCAATTTAACAATTCTGCTGTATTCATAATAATAAACTGCAAGATTTGAAAAGCATTCTAAAGTTATGGAACCATACCTTTCCTTTGCAGACCTGCATCAAATTGAGGGCATTGGAAATTGTGTACCTCCTCATTGTGGAGTCTTTGATGGCAGGGCTGTAGACGAGTTCAAAGCCCACGCCGCGGTCAATTGCCTTCACAGGAAACAAAGAAAATAAACTGTTGAGGATAAACACACGGTCCTACTTTATTTTCACTGGCATTCTCCCTCCCCTCCTTCAACCCATCGCCCACACTTCCTGAATACCAAGGTACAGCCGGCAACAAAGGCAGATTTTTGCCAGAAAGGCACCGTCCACAGGAGAAGAAAACAGACCCATGGCTCTATTTCAAGATAATTCATCTTGGCTTTGGGGGCATGGAATTTCATACCAGCAGGAATTGTGAAGCGGCAAAACGTCCAAAGGGAGCAAAGTCCAGGGTTGGGGGTGGGGGTGGGGGTGGGGTGGCAAAAGGGCACCATTCCAGGAACTAGCAAAGGTCAGGGGAAAGGGAGCTGTTCTTACACCTAGGTGGTCTGAGAGAGTAAACCAAGTACTCTGACCCAAGAAGAGACAAAAGAAGGGCAGAGCTGAAAACTGGTCAAAGTACTGTTGCCTTTTCAGCAGATCTGAGTGTTGGGGTAAAATCTCAAATAATAATGGTGGGCCTGGTGTCAAAATATTGAATGTGATCAAAGTAGAGAGAGAGTCATGTGGAAATCATCTGCCCCACAGGTAGGGGGAGGGTGTGGGATAGGGGTATGCTGGGGTTTTTGGTGGTGGAGAATGGGCACTGGTGAAGGGATGGGTGTTTCATTGTATGACCGAGACTTAGATCCGCAAGCTTTGTAACTGCTCTCACGGTGATTCAATAAATAAAAATCATAAAAAATGAAAAAAAATTAAGGTGGAGTTCATGCACAATCTAATCAGCTAATCAGTGGCTGAATAAATAGCAGTACTCCTACATAAAAAAAAAAAAAGAACAGAAGGTGGGAAGGCGATTGAAAGAAGTCACTCATTCTGTGTAGATAGAATGAATAGTGAGAGCCGAAGCTGGGGGCTTACATGTGCCAGGCACTGTGCTAGGAGTCTGAGGCCCACACTTAACCCTTAACGGTACCCTTTCCCAGCTCGTGGGTGAGACTAGCAATTCTCTTTTTCTTTAGTATGAAATAGAGTTCCTGACTTTTAGCCAAGCTCAGGATTGTTCTGAGAAAAAAAAAAAAAAAAAGAATAAAAAAAGTCAGAAGCCTCGGCCAATGAAATCTTGCCCAACTCACCAGATTAGCTTTTCATGTGAGAAAAGGAAGCTTCTCTTATCTAATGCATTGGGGAGGGAGGTGGGGTGCTCAGGGGACCCAGGGGCGACTCCCAGGGATACTTGGCCAGCTAGGCTATTGGTTCAAGGTGAGTGCCTGATGATACGGTGCTGCTCCAGCCTACAGTGCCAGGTTTATCCAGGTCAGGTGCCCTGGCAATGCTCAGGGGCTCTGGGGCCACTTTGTCAGTGCCCAGGTCCTCAGGACTGCCCGTTACTGCTCAAGGGACCTTGCAGTGCCAGGATCGAACCAGGGTCACTGTATCCAAGCCAGCACCTTAACCCCTCCTATTGTATCTCTCCCGACCCTTCAGACATTATAAATAGGTATTTCCAAGGTAAGAAAATAACCTAGAGGACTTGGAATTGAAATCCAGCACACATTAGTCAGCATCTTCCATGATGGATTCGAAACTGTCATTTGTTCACAACAGGTATGTGTTCAGACAACAGCATGGAAATAAGTTTCTCCCGGCCACGACTGTCCAGTTTTAGTAAGAGATACTGTCAAGTAATCACATAAGAGCATAAAAACCTCAACTGTAATAGTAGTATAAGCATGTTTTAAAGTGAGTTTCATGAAGGAATTTCTGAAATAGCAGAGAGTAGCAGTTTCGGAGAGGAGTATGTAGAAAGACCCTGAGATTGGAGAGACAGTGGCAAAAGCTAAGAGAAGGCAACAGTTGGTAAGGGGGAATGGGGGGAGGGGAGGTTAAGTCACAACACTTATTTTGGTGGGACTGGAGGTTAAGAGAATGGAATGGGAAGGGCCAAGGTGAAAGTCTTTGGGGTTGTTGAGTTGTTGACAGGACTAATCTTACCAGCAATGGGAAGCACGTGAAGGATTTTAGCATGCACAGTGACAAGGACACAGAGCTGCTGTGGTACTCTGAGCGAAAAAAGGAAGGAAAGTGGCACAGACTGGCGGTGTGGTCCAGCTCTCTGTCTGGAAACGGATCTCTATTATGGAGAGGACAAGCTGGGGCTAGTGAGCTAGGGCAACTGGAGTAGAGTCCATTCCTGGTGCCTACGGGGAACGGGGAAGCATTTCCCCAGAACAGGCTGCCCACCTTGCATTAATTCAGGTGTGCATGACAGGCTCCATCTTCCCATCCTGAACACAGGTCCCCTTTCTTTCACAACTCTCCACCCCCCTTCCTTAACTTCTCCTTCTGCCTTGAGGCTCCCAGATTTTCAGATCCGCTTACACATCTGATACTAGTTTACTTGAATTCACAAGCTATTTTCCATGCTGCAACCTTCCCCCTCTCCTTTTCTGTCATTTTTTTCCCATTTCTCATTCCTCAGCATGCTATTTGTTTTTTTTTTTTTTGGTTCTCTTTCTCTCCCTTTGCAGTACTGGGGGCTCAAACCCAAGGCCTCACACTTGTGAGGCACGTTGTTCTACCACTGGGCTGTATCCTGAACCCCTGATGGTTTTTGAGGAATGGTGTCTATTTTGACACTCTTTCTGCCATTGTTCAATGTAAGTTTTTCACCCTGTCTCGATAATACACCTAAAAGCTGGTATCGTGACACTTCTTTGTAATCCATGACAGTCTTTTAAACAAAACTGTTTAATAGACCATCAGTGGATAAATGGTAGCAGATGAGAAGAGGTCTTAATGGTGTTCACTAAAAATTATCCAGCAGAATGACAGAAACAGGATAAGCACAGAGAACTGAAAATCAGATAAACCAAAACACCTCCTTTAGCCACATTCTTAACTACCTCCCTAGCTATTTCTAGTACCCAGACTACTAATTAGTCAAAGAGGGTGACATTTCTTTTCTACAGCCTGTGGTTGAACTAAAACATAAGGAAGCAGGATGAAGAGGAAATAAAAGACGTGGAAATGCACAGGACTGGGTGACCAAGTCCCACACTACTACTCAATACAATTTTAGCAGCCCACACTCACTCCCTGCCAGATAAAAATTTAAAAATCCCTTTTGTCAGAGTGGGGAGAGAAGGGAGGAAATAATTGGCATAATTATCAGCTTAATTATTTTTTTAAGGTAAAACATAATTTTGATTGGTACATTAATCAAGTTCATTTTAAAACTGTTAGAAAACTTTGAGACAGAAAATTAAAGATAATGTGCCATTGAAAGTTGGAATACTTCTTTTATAAAACCCCATTTTTAATTTTTGAAAAGATAAAATACACTTATTCATTACCAGAGCTCCTGTTTCTAAGACCATTTTAATGAAAATTGCCTTAAGCTCATCAAATGATTGTTCATGAGAAGCTTTTTCATACAGAATGACAGCGCCTGCCTGATTGGTTTTTGTTTGCATGCCTGACCAAAGGTTCTGGATTAGGTTGGGTGATCACATGTCTTTACTGCTGAGAAATAAGCCATAATGATTCTAAATCAAGGGCAGGTGTGTGATACTTGAATCAAGAGGTATTGGTGGTAAAAATCCAAAAACTAAGCACAGCTGAAGAGAAAGAAGGGAGTCAGAAAATAGAGGGTTGATTACTGGGACAATAGCTGGATTCCCTATTAATGTCATAAAAAATAAAATGAGTTCTTTATTGAATTCAAAAGGATGATGAGACCATTTTGGCATCAGATTCCTGAAGATAGGTATTTTTTTTCACATAAATCAAAGCACACAAAGATGCAATAAAAAGTCTTACGTGTATTGCTGCTTCCATCAGCCCCTCTTCTACTCCCATTATTACTTTCACCAGTTTCTTGTAACTTCTTACAGAATTCCTTCATATAAATGTAAGTAAATATGAATATATACTACATTTTCCAAGCAGCCTGGAAAATTTTATTCTGACTTAAGGTTTTTCCACTCAGCTCACAACATCCTCATATTGTTTTGTGGCTCAGAGTCTTCCGTTGCAGAGGTATGGCAAGTATTTGACCAAGATTCTACTAAGAGCTGCTTTAATATATCTAGAGTATAAATACTAAGTGGAATTACTACGTACTGTGGCCTGAAAAGTGTTTCCCTCAAAAAAGTACTTAGCCCTCAAGACCTCACAATGTGGCCTCAGGTGGAAAGGGTCACTATAGACTTAATCAAGATGAGGTGCTATTGGAATAGACCAAGCCAGTATGTTTGATCTTTATCAGATCAGGTCGTATGGAGACAACGGGACCAGCACATAGAGCGAATACACTGTCAAGACAAAGGGAGAGATTAGACATAAGCAGATGCAAGCCCAAGACTGCTAAAGACAGCGGGCAGAGAGGCAGAGAGTAACTATCTTATAGGATTTCAGGTCAACAGAACTGTGAGACAATTTCTGTTGTTTTAAGTTCCAGTTTGTGGTACTCTGTTATAGTAGTTTCAGGAAATTAGCACACCAGGTCAGAGCATTTGTATTTTGATAATTGCAGCCAAATTCCTCCCTCTTCCATTGGGATCATTCGAGTTTACAGTGTTACGAGAAAATCTATGAGAACGCCGCCTTTCCCACAGTCTCACGGCAGAGTGCATCAGCAAACTCCTGGGCTCGAGCCAATCAGATAGGTGATTTTAACATGAACCTCTTTTTATTAATAAATCTAATCATCATAATATGTTTCATATGTTTAAGGGCCATTTGTACTTCTATTCCTAGGTCCTCTTCATATTCTTAATCTATGTTTGAGGGCTGTGCTTTGTAGAAGAGAAAAAACAAAACAATGTCTCAAATGTAGGAGCTTTTTACATGTTAAGGATTTTAGACTATGTCTAAAGCATAAGTGAAAATACTTCACCAGACTGTTAGTTCTTTGCCCTGTTACAGAAACTCTGATATCACAAGTTTGCAGGAAAACACAATAAATGGTTAAGAAACAGATTGATAAAGTACATAACATATTAGGTTCACAATATGTGTGATGAAAAATAAAACCATTTCAAGCACTAGCACTCAGTGTTCAATAAAATGTTGGGGTGAACAGATCAGAAGGAGCACAAGACATAATAACACTGAAAGTAACTCCATAGATTTGAAGTAAAGCTGAATGGCAATAACACTGAGAAAACAAAACAAAAACAAGAAGAACATATGCTGCTTTCAAAAGATTCTTCTCAAAACCTAATTCTTAAAGATCATGGCTTACTATGTGAAGTTACTCTGTGCTCAAGAATGATTTGTTACAAAGTCACTTTAAGGAGTACTTTCCTATGGGGAAATGAAAGCAGACTTGGAGTTAAAGCTTGAGTACAAATCCAAAATCTCAACCCTTCTGTGCTCATCACTCATGACCTTTACTTGCAGAGGTGAAAGCAGATGGGCGAGAGCAGGTGGGGAAGTGCTTAAGTTATAAGATAATAAGTCACTGTGCTACACAATGGAATACTATGCAGCTGTTAGGAGAGGTGAAGTCATGAAATTTGCTTATAAATGGATAGACATGACGAGTATGATGCTAAGTGAAATGAGGCAGAATGAGAGGGACAGACATAGAAGGACTGCATTCATTTGTGGAATATAAACAACATAACATGAAGCTGACACCCAAGGATAGCAGATACATGAGACAGGAAGATTGCTCCATAGCTGGAAGCCTGCCTTATGAGCAAAGGGAAGAAGGTAGCTGGAATAGAGAAGGGATCACTAAGAAAATGATGGCTTGAGGAACAGGTCAGGATGGGGGATGTGTGCAGAAAGTAGAAAATGGACCAAACATGATAACCTCTCAGTACCTCAGTACCTGCATTGCAAACCATAATGCCCAAAAGTAGAGAGAGAGAGAGAGAGAGAGAGAGAGAGAGAGAGAGAGAGTATGGGGAATATTGTCTGCCACAGAGGCAGGGGGAGGGTGGGAAGGGGAGGGTATACCAGGGATATTGGCGGTGGGGAATGTGCACTGGTGGAGGAATGGGTGTTTGATCATTGTATGACTGTAACCCAAACATGAAAGCTTGTAACTATCTCACGGTGATTCACTAAAATTAAAAAGGAAAATAAAGATAAGTGAGGAAGAATGTATTTCCATACTTCAACCGACACATCTTCCTCTAAGATAATAAAGATAATCAAGAGAAGTGACCTGCCCACGCAAGAAGAGCTGACTTCATTGTTTTAGAAATCCAACTTTCACACAATAAAATTGCGAATCCTCTACAAGATACTTAAAACTCCAGAAGAGGTTTACAGGAGATTTCAGAGGAAAGAGTAGGGTTGAAATGATGCTGCCCTGAGCCTGCAGTGAGGATGACAAAGGGGACCAGAGCTGTGAGCTACAGAGAGTACTCCGGGGTGCTTCTGGCTCCCAGGCCATCCCTCACATTCCCCATCCTCTGAGCTAATGATTTTCACATGGCTTCTAGCTTCTACGTAAAAGATCAGTGAATTTCCTATTTGAACGCTACTGCTTTTCAGCACACCAAAGAACACAAACTAATTCAAATTAAAGAATTTGGGCTGTTTTCTAATGTGCCCAATAACGTGACCTTTCATGGTTGCAGACAAATTTATCCTAAGAGCTAGAGAAAATGCAAGGATTATGACTTAAGTCTGAATTGTTGAATTAGAGAGATAGCTCAACTGGCTGAAGGCTTCTGTCTGTATACTCTTAGGGTTTGATTCCCTGCTCGGTGGACAAGGATCAAAATACCAAAACAAAAAAACCACAAAAAGATTGAATTGTTACGACATCCCTACTATGCTTTTAACGGTGAATGTATTTCCATACTTCAACGGACACATCTTCCTCTATATCTAGGTAACATATTATTAGATACCCGCAATACATACACCCAACACAATATCTACCCTGAATAACACACTGGACACCTTTGATTTCTAGTGTTATCTCTTAAATGGGAAATGAATAAATAAATGAACAGGGACTTTTCTGCTTCCTGACCAATTTGTGCAGCCTACTTCTCCACGTGAAGACTAAAAATAATCTGTGCAGCCTTCCCTCCACTCCATCATCTAGCTTCATTAAACAACATATGTAAAATGTTCACACCAGATTTTAAAAAAGCAGACACTGTGTTAAATACTGCATATTCCCCTTGCTTGTCAAATTTTTACTCTTCACAATTCTTAAAATTGGAAAATGTGGGAATCAAGCCAAAAATATCCCTCCAACAGTAGCTTTCCTGAACTTACAGATGGAATGGGAGGGTGGGATATCCTAGCGCCATCCTCCTCCTGCCACCCCAAAACCGCCCTCCTCACTGCATCTACTGGCTGTGGCGTGCTGACAACTAGTTACTGAGTGAAGACTCTAAACTGCAGGTCTCTGAGGAGCAACGTAGAGTCACTTGGCTGAACACATTGTAGGAAGGAGCCAATTATAGCCAAGACATTGGAATAGGTGTGAAGGACCCTGGCACAGCTCGTGCCCTTTAGCTCACAGGCAGGGCTGAAGAGCAGGGCACGTTCGAAACAGGCCCCAGGAAGCAGCTTCCAAACAGCTTTGGGGGAGCCCCGAGGCATTCAGTGCTGTGTACCACTGACCATTCCATGGACCCGGCCTCAGCTGCACATGCTTTGCTCTCCTCTCAACCAAGGACATGGGATTGCATGTGTGTTTACAGACAGGGGCACCCAGAAAATGGCCCTTCAAGTTATTCAGGTGAAGAGAAAGGGGCGAAAATGTTGCAATTTAACAGCAATTTACAGGGCTTCTGTACTGTCATCCACATAAAAACTGGATTTGGCATTGAGGTGAGTAAAAAGCCTTGGCAGAAACAGGGACATGGCTCAAAACAACTGAAGCATGTGCTTCGTGTGGGGGTCCTGGCCCAATCCCTGGCATCACATGGTACCCAGAGCCCTGCTGAGAGCAACCCCGGAGCACCAAGTCAAAAGTAATTCCTGAGTATACTGGGAGTAGGCAGCCCAGGTTAGCCTGAGCCCTTTCTCAGAGGTAGCTGGGGCTCATCAGAGCTGTCCTAAGAACTGTGACTGAAGAGCTGATATGCTTCTTCGCTAACTTCTAGTCAACTATATTTGATAAATGAACCACCAAGCAAATTAAAACTCCAACTCTAAAATGGGATGATTCAAGGATTATTTTAGTGTTTCGTTATTTATTTAAAACACTGGCAAGAAAGAAGAAACAAAATTACTCGTGTCTGTATGTTCCAGAGCACTTTCAGTACTTATCAGAAAAGAGCTGTTTTCCTTTTAAGGTTTTTAAATAAATTTAGTTGTTAAGTTTTGGGCACTTTTTGAGTGTAGTTTTAGTAACATGTTTTTAAGGGTAGGAAAGAGCCAACTTAAGAGTTTTCTACATTGGGCAATTTTCTCATACCATATAGATTTTAATTTTTAATTTTTCCCGTTATTCCCAGCATCGAGTCAGCTCCTTAATCCCAGAAAAAGAGAAATAGAAATGGAAGGAATTTCGATTCTTTGAGTCTACAAAAACTTAAAATGTAAAAATAGTGCCAGTGGAGTTATTAAAAAAAAATGCACAAATGTTTAATTTTTTAATTCTGATGAGATTCCGTGTATAAGTTAAACTCTTTTTCTCCTTCAATAGCTTTTAGGAGAACTGAGCTTCAGAAGTCTACAAATCTAAAATAACTCCTAATCCCTCCTCGAATCTGGCTGTTAATAGCTGGCGACTGTGCTGATCTTATAGTTACCCATGGGAAGTAATATCACCTAGTAAGGGAATCAGATTTAGAAAGGCAAGACAGATGGAAGATGAAGGGGAGAGGAAATGACACTCTGCAAAAGGTAACAGGAACAATTTTTTAGCACAGGGAAGAGCGAATAGGCCCCCTAACAAACGGCTACTCTTTTAGGGTTTTATGAAAAGAATTTTGGGTTTCTGTGTGAATCAGCATGTTTTAATGCAGACTTGATTCTTTTATTCACAGAGTTCTTTCTTTGTTTGTGTTCTTGGCGTCCAAGTTACTGTACTAGTATAATACAACTGAAGTGCTGAAAACCCTGCACCTCTGTCTCCAGGTCTCTTCTGGACCACCCTGCCTCCTTTTTCTCTTTTCTCCCACCTTGGTAACCTCAGCTCTATGCTCAGACCCCAAGGGTTTGTCTTTTGGGCTCTGATTTTCACCATGCACGGATTCTGCTTCCTGTGTACTCCGTGCCCTACTCTGTTCAACTTGCGCACTGATGCCTTAAAAACACTCTCATATTTTCCCCTTTCCTTTCTTTCCTGTTTTGTCCCTTAATATTCATTGTTTAGGATTCTAGGGTCCATTATTATCTGCCATCGTTTTAGAGTCCTCAGAAATCCTGGTTTCTCAGGCCTTTCAAAAACTCTTGATCACTGTCACTGTCCTCCCGTTGTTCATTGATTTGCTCATGGGGGTCCAGTAACATTGTGAGTCTTGTTACTATGTTGGGCATATCAAATACGTCACGGGGAGCTTGCCAGGCTCTGCCGTGCGGGCGAGATACTCTCAGCAGCTTGCCAGGCTCTCCGAGAGGGGCGGAGGAATCGAACTCGGGACGGCCATGTCAGCCGCGTGCAAGGTAAATGCCCTACCTGCTGTGCTATCGTTCGAGCCCAAAAACTCTTGATAATTTACTAATTTTTTTTAATCTTAAACTTTTTTTTTGCTTTAGTTTGCTCTCTTTCCTAAATAGCCTCCTATCTGTTACCTAGCTTCAGGTTTTCCCTATGAGACCACTCATTTCTCGGTCCTCCTTTCAGTTTGTTTACACAAATTTCTGTAGATTAAGTATAAAACAGAAGGCGTTAACACTTACCACATTAACAGGGGGTCTTTTGAAGTAAAATGGTAGTTTCTCTGTCACAGTTATGCAGACTAAATCCACATCTAAGTGTGTACAAGCAACCTGTCAAGAGAAAAAAATCCAATGATAAAGCCAAAAGGACACAAATTAAGAATGGGATCTACAGTTAAATCTGATGTAACAAAATAGATATGGTTCCCTCCACAGTGTTAATGGTTCTATGCAGAAATATACTTGACATCTTATAAAATCAATGGTTAGCCATTCCTTCACTATGGTCTGAAGAGGCAATAGACCACATGGGGCTTAATAACTCTCAAACTCACGGTCAACTACAGAAATTGAATGGCAAAGGGGCTTGTTCTGTGGAAGGTTACCACACAGTATTCCAGAAAGGTGAAACTGCTCTAAAATCCAAGAGGGAAACAATAAGCCAAAGGAAATGTATGCACTGTGACTTACTCCATAATTTTTTTTTTTTGGGCCAGGAATTATCTCTGGTCTATAGCTCTTATTGGTGTACTGAAAGGCTGAAGAAACCAGACAACAGAGCACTACCAATGGTATTTTGTTCAGCTACTAATGAAAAGAGGAGAGTTGTAACAATGATATGGAAATTATTTTTAAAATTTTAATTTCCCTCCCTTTTATTCTGATTTTTGCTATTATTGATCATTAGTTTGTATTTACTTCCAAAAGAAATCTAAAGTAGTTACTAAAAAATAGGGCCAAGATGAAATCAACAGATGAGGAAATCAGAAATAGAAAACCAGGAAAGAGAAGTAAAATTCAGGTGGGGGAAGGTACTAGCCCGAGAGTTACAAGTCCAAAGGATTCAGTCACTGTCAGAAGATGTGGATCTCACCTGATTTTGTCATTATTTGATTTATAGTGATAAAAAGAATTGGCTGTTGAGTACTGCATTAAAAATAAGTCTCACTGGCAAGGCGGATGAACACCAGCTTAATGAACAAATCTGAGCTGCTATGGTGGCGAGGCAGGGGAACCAGTATCAGAGGCACAGACTCATGGAAAGGTCCCTCGGACATAAGGGAGAGGTTACAGAGCGGGAAACAATGCCTGGGAGGCTCCGCCTGATGATTAGCAGTGACAGGAATGGCCCGTCTTCCCCTTTCCCTTCAGGATCCCCATTCAAACTCTCTATCCCACCCCAGAGCTTTATGAAGCATGCAGCGATCAGAGACTGCCTGGCTTCAAGACATTCAAAGTGACGGAGCAAGCCTGAGAAGTAACGCTGTCTTGGCAGAAACACTGGCCTCATGAAGAATCTGCCCCAATCCAACTGTACAGCTGTCACACTCAGTAAAAAGCCATCGAAATTTTGAAAAGGATAGATTAAGAAAAACTTGGAATAGTAGACCAAACAAGTTCAGCTACTGTGTTTGCCTTTCTGCAACTATTAAAATGGCAAAGATCAAAAGTTCGGCCACACATCACTGACACAAGAATGAATAAGCCGAGGGTCTTTACATCAGGAACTCCTTGAAAAGCACTTGAGCAGGAGGTGTCAAAATTGCAAATTGCACACACCAGCAATTTCGTCTATAGAAGTGTATCCTACAGACAAACTGCTAATACAGCCTAAGGCTCTCTTCCTTAAAAGTACTTAAGGGTATTAGCGCAGTTACTGCAATATCAAACTCAAAAGGCGAGATACAATTCAGTATTTCTTGATTTTACTACAATGAACTATGGTTCCACTGTACAGCAGAATATGCTGACCCCTTAAAGAGAAAGAAGTAATATAGTTCTAGTAGATTTTAGGGAACCGTCATCAAGACACACAGGTGCAAGAAGTATATTACGTAGGAAGGAAGGGGGATATGAAGGAAGAACTAGGAGCTTATATAAAGACACAGCTCATAAGATAACGCATAAGAACTGCTAACAGTGGTAACCTCTGGAAAAATGAGGAGGGAAACTTAAGTGGGAGGAAAATGTGCTTTCCCCTTAGTACTGTTTGAGTTTATTATCATGAAAATTAATTATTCATTAAAAAAGCTGATTCATTTTAAAAAACCAGTTAAACATTCTTGCCCAAATAAAACTAAACCGGGTTACTTTTTATTCTTGTATGACTCCTTCATCCCCAAATAACAGTGACTAATTAAAAAGTATTCCTATACCGGTTTAAGTACACACATTATAACCAACTTTCGGTTACAAAAAACAGCTCTACCTGGCTTCCTCTGACAGTTATTTATCTTTCAGTTAATCTAAATGGTGAAGCGAAATATTTAGGTGGCTATAAAATAGTTAATGTTCGGATTTTATCAAAATATTTCTTTAAATCATAATAAAAATTGTTACACTGAAATATTACTTGAGATTAAGAATCTTACAATGGTTTTGGCAGGTTGTCTACGAATATATATCTAGTGCTTTTAACTTTCTATTTTTGGCAAGGACTGCTGTGAAGGTTTAAGGAAAGCTTATTCCCAATAAAAAGCATATATATATAGTCATACACTTATTTCTCTTTGATTTTAGAGAACAAGGGGAATGGGAGAGCAGTGGTTCAGTCTCCCCCAATCTCCTACATGACTATCAGATTTCTACATTTACTATCTCATGATAAATAAATCCAAAGGAGAGTCAGGTTTACCCGGGGGAAAAAACAAATAACAATAAACAGTGATTCTTAATGACAGCTATATTAAAATTTTAAAAAACCCTCCCCTGTACAATTTACTGTAAGTAAAAAATCACCAGGTCCATGTCCAGTGATAAACAGGATTAAATTATCCACATTTTAATTAATATTCCCAGCAGCTCCGAATTCAGTAGCCCTAGACTCTATTTCCAGAGCCAATGCCCTGAAAGATCCCCCTTTCCTCCAGAGTCTTCAGTATTGGCAGCATCCCTAGTAACAGTGCTCTTCAAAGGGTAAGGCATGGAATTTGAAAGCTGAAAGAAAATAGAAGTTCTATGTCTATTCACATTTTAATTCACTTTCTCCAATTTATGTGTATATTAATTTACTGAGCACACTGAGAATAACGAGACATGCCAATAATTTATAACAAACCTACACATACTGGGATGCAGAGTGCCATGCATTTTTTTAATTGATAAGGCATGTAATCAAATAATTTTGGAGACCACTAGACTAAATAACCTGAAACTACCTCATCCTGATACAATCATTTTTAATACCTAAATGGGAATAACCAACTCAGGCGCTCCTATATCAGTCTCTCTTGGCCCGCATGTCTCATCCCAATGAGCGTGGGCCAGCGGACTCCTCGCACAACCTTCCATCTGTACCTTAGCCTTGGGAGGCGCTCCGGAGAGGGTTTATCCGAGACATCTTCCAGACACTGAGTGGAAAACAGTATGCTATTTCCCATGGAAACAATGCTATTTAAAGTGGCTAGAGCTTATACCACTAATTGTTAACATATGTGTGTGTGTAGGTTTTTATGACTCATCTTAGAGACCGAGTAGTTTTAGAATAATGATATCTACAGGGATCTCTGTTAAAATGTTAAAATCAAATGACCAAACAATTGAAGTCACTTACTGAAACATTAACCTGTTTAGCAACAAACTGCTTGCGTTTGACCTGGTTCCAAAATACGATACATTTACAAAAGCTTCACTTAAGCTGTTTTTCTGTAGAAAACAGAAAGAGTAAACTCCAATTACGTTTCTTTTTTGGGCCACACTAGGGCTGCTCTGGGGACTCCTGGCTTGGTATTTGGGGATCACAGGGTGCTGGGGAGCAAATCCAGGCTTCCTGCATGCAAAGCCTGAGCTCTGTACTGCTGAGGTACCTCTGCTGGCCAGGTCTCAAAGCGAAAGAAGATTTGAATAGATGAAAACAAGATATTATAATTTTTAAGTTTTCGTGTAAAAGGTAAGGTAAGGTAAAGGCCCTCCCGTTGATCGTCGATTTGCTCGAGCGGGCCCAGTAACGTCTCCATTGGAGACTTTGTTGTTACTGTGTCTGGCATATCGAATACTCTCGGTAGCTTGCCGGGCTCTCCGAGAGGGGTGGAGGAATTGAACTCGGGTCGGCCATGTTGGCCGCTTGCAAGGCAAACGCCCTACCCGCTGTGCTATCATGTGAATTTATACCACCAATCCTAAATACTTTATGTAGTATCTATTGCTTTCTTTCATCTTCCAGAAAATGTTCTAACCATCACAGTCGCATACTTTAGATTTTGAATAGTCTAAGAAAAACAAATTAGAAGATTAAATAAGAAAAAAAATCACATGAAACCATAATTTACTTAAAGAAAATAGACAGCTCTATTATTTGAAATTTAATGCAAACTATTCTCCTGAGTTTCGATTTTCTCTTCTACAAAATGGGGAGTGATGAAAATCTATTCTATCCCGTAAGATTGCTACATACAAGTAATGAACATGTAAAAGTCTGAAAGGTTATAAATTAGTATTTTAAGCCATAATAGTTCTTTTTTAATTATTGTTTTCTCTAATCATCAATCGAAATCAATTTGAAAAAAGTAAATGTACAGTAAAAAAACTGGCTATGTTTTTAGCTTTTGAAGTCTCTACATAAATAAGCTGCTATAATAAAGCTTAACAAAAGTGGAAATAAAACTAGTCTTCCTCTACGAAAAGTCAGTCCTCGCCCTGAATCAGAATTTCATATGTACCTGGAACAGAATCCTCTGTTGTGAGGATGAACATGTCTGCTTTTTGACTTTAAGGGAGCATTATATGATGGAAATCCCTGCTGCCTCCCCCCCCCACCCCCCGCCAGCATTCAAGGATATTTATACTGCTTCTCTGCATTCATAAAAACAACTAAGAATGGACGATAAGCCAAGGAAACTAAACTTATTTCACAGGAGGCACCTTACATAACAGCTCCATCTACTGGACAAATTCAGTGACATTCTTCCTCTAAGTTTGCTTATATTTCTTATTCATTTGTTTATAAATGAACTATCTCATAAAATTAAAACAACAAAAAACAAGATTTCCCTCCTCTAATAGATGCACCAGGGATGGGCTGGAGCGATAGCACTGCGGATAGGGCGTTTGCCTTGCACACAGCCAAAATGGCCAACCCGAGTTCGATTCCTCTGCCCTTCTCGGAGAGCCCAGCAAGCTAACAAGAGTATCTCACCCGCACGGCAAAGCCTGGCAAGCTCCCCGTGACGTATTCGATATGCCAGACACAGTAACAATAAAGTCTCACAATGGAGACGTTACTGGGCCCACTCGAGAAAATCGATGAACAATGGGAGGACAGTAACAGTACATTTTAAAAGGGTTTTTTTTTCACTTTACAAAAATATTCCTGAAAACTGCATTACAATTAATTTTTTTCTGCCTTTCTGCAATCACTTAAAGATGTCCAGTATGTTCTGTCTCAAGCTGACCAAGTGAGCAATGTTGAGCAACCTTTCTACCTGAAAATTCAGTGAAATGACAAATTTAAAAGGACAAAACTAGACCAGGTTTAAAATTACAAAAACTCTCAGAACACAAAGCATTAGCAGGTGGGTAATTTTGAAGAATCTGGGGACTACTAAAGGCTCCTATGATCCTGCTGGCATGTGGACAGCATCCACCTCAGCAGAGGCAGAAGAGAATGTGACAGTGGAGACGGGAACTTGTATGCCACAGCAGAACCCAGAAACTAGACTTATCTAGTAGCACCCTTGCTACTAGACGAAACAAGAACTCTTATCTAGTAATAATTTTGCTACTAAACAAGAGCATTGCAAAAGGGGGGAGTGATCTGGCACTGGAAAAAGAAGGACCAAGATTTGCCCAAGAGAAGTTACAAAAATAAAAATAAACAAATAAATAAGAAAGAACAGAAAGAAGGAAGAAAAGCCAAAGAAAAAGGCAAACATTGTTGGGCTCTTTCAACCTGAGTTCCTCAAATGTCAGCAGGATGACTAATTGAGCCCCAAACCCTTGCTACCTCAGTTCATCCTTGCTAAATTCTAGAATTTCAAATATAATTTATAAATATTAAATTTCCAGATGACCATGGTGGTGGAAAGTGGGCACTGGTGGAGGAGGGATGGGTATTTGTCATTGTATAATCGAAACCCAAGCACAAAAATTTGTAAATCTACAACTGTACCTCATGGTGTTTCACTAATAAAAATTTTTTTAAAAAAAAAAGAAATTAAAGGAAATAAAATTAAAGCTAGAAGAGGAAAAAAAAATTTCCAGATGAAGTGTAATATATCACCTGCAAAGACAAAGCATGAGATTTCCTATATAACATGAATGGTCCTTTCATTATCTGTTACTTACGTGAAAAAGTTTCTCTGTCTTTGGAAACACTGCAACAATATCATACAGCCGGACTCTTGAAGAAGTTGCTCTCTAGTAATAGAAAAAGAATGTTTAGCACAGAGTAATTACAAAATGCACTCATGGACCAACAGCCTGGCGGCACTTACACTTCAATCACCTGTCCCTTCCAGCCACTGACATTTCTGCTTCCATCTTGGCAGAAAAACCTAAGTATGCCAAGACTTTAGATATCAACATCTATCTTATGAATCATCTCCCTCTCCCCCTTCCTAGACAGTTAGGCGAAATCAGATTTGACAAACAAGTTGGCTGAAGAGCTTGCCAGGTATGTATTGAGCTCCTGCTGTGGGAAGTAGGGATGAGGGCTCCTAGGCATATAAAATCATTAACTGCATAATTTTGTTCTTAGTGGAACTCATCAGAATCTTTTTTTTGGGGGGAGGGGGACTGAGCACACATTGCTAGGGCAAAGTACAGACCTTACTCCTAGTTCTGCACTCAGGTATCACTCCTGGTAGGGTACAGGGGACCAAATGTGGGGCAGGGGATCAAACCTACCAGACAAGGCAAGTGTCCAACCCACTGTACTATCGCTCTAGCTACTCCCCCCTCCCCACCTATTTAAAAAAAAAAAAAAGAGAGAAAGAAATACTATGACCAGTGGAGATTTAGTTAGGTTCACATAATACTTTTAACAACAAATTAAGGGGGCAGAGAGTACAGTGATTAGGATGCTTGTATTGCATGCGGTCAACTCCAGTTCAATCCCCGGTGCTATATATGGTTCAATGAACACCACCAGGAGTGATCCCTGGACACAGAAACTGGAGCATCTCCAAGCATGGCCCAAACCTCCTTCTCCCCCGACCAAAAATTAAGAGGCTAAATGTACGTGAAAATATCCAGAGTCCAAGACAGAAGAATAAATAGCAGTTAAATACAAAGCCATCGTTTAAAAAAGAACAACTCAGCACCCATGGATGTGGCTAAGTGGTAAATTATCTGCCTTGCAGGCACAAGATCATGAGTCAATCCCCAGCACCCCATGCCATATGCTGAATGTGATCCCTGGAGCACGGCTGTTGTGAGGGCCACAAAAAGTATGCAAATTTCAGTGCAGCACAAGCATGTGTGCAACCATTGGAGAGCACCACAATCTGTGTACAAGCACCACAACTAAACATGTACAAACTCAGAAAACCATTGCACCCAAGTGCGCAAACAAAACTTGAGTGGGTGTCCCCTAGACGATGCAACAAAAACAAAGGGAAGGGAGGAGATATCAAGCTTACATACTCTCTGTATGTGTGGGCATTTAAAGACTAAAAACTAAATATATTCAAATGCACAATCTTTGAGTGCTGGAATGATTGAAAACATGACAAAATGTTTTGAAAGGAGGTTGTAAATAATGAATGCTCTGGGAGTAGGTAACTGGGAGCCACCAGATGAAGTACTTTTATGATGGGATCTCCAAGAATCAGTAATTGTTAAGTAGGTACAGAATAGAGGAGAGAACTTTCTCAAAGGCAGTAAATACTGTATGTCCCAGGAAGTGAAACAGTATCATCAGGGCTGATTTCATGATGTGGCTAACCTGGGATGAGATTCAGGAGATAGGCCTAGGCAAGCAGTTGGACCTCCTTGAAGGTTCTAACTAAGGGAGTAAAATTATAATTTACATTACAGGGAATGAAGGTTCTCTGTTGCGGTTAAGAAGGGATTTGAAAGGCATCCATGGGAAGGATTTGGGTAAAGATAATGACTTGTCTGGATCACCTGAACAACCAAATAGGTAGCTGATAGAACCATTTCCTGTGATAGGATATAAGAGAAATAGTGACATCATCTTGTTTGGGACATGACATGTTTCTATGAAACTTTTACTAAAGTGTGTTAGATGAGCATTGGAAATAAGCGTGATTCTCAGGAGTAATCAGAATTAAAGAGATTATTTGGAAATGGTCACTCTATAGAGAATATTGAGATCATGGGAGAGGATGAGGCTTCCTGATCAAGATCTGATGGGGGGAGGGGGGGCGGGAAGAGTATAGGCAAAATCCTGGAGAACTCCAACCTTTTTTTTTTTTTTTTTTTTTTTTTTGCTTTTCTGGGTCACACCCAGCGATGCACAGGGATTACTCCTGGCTCTGCACTCAGGAGTTACTCCTGGCGGTGCTCAGGGGACCATATGGGATGCTGGGAATAGAACCCGGGTCGGCCACGTGCAAGGCAAACGCCCTACCCGCTGTGCTATCTTTCCAGCCCCGAGAACTCCAACCTTTAACAGTGGAATAGGACAGAGCTTCTTAAGCTGTTCCCATTCACAACCTCTTCCGCCCCCCACCCTCAAGAAATGGAGTACAGATGAGCACTTCCGGAAGCACCTTAGATTCATTACACGTTTGATATTGAAGTAATTTTTGGTGGCTGTGCATTCAGAAGCCTTTTTAGTATTGCCAGGTTTTTTGTGACCTCCCCACACTCACTTCCACAATCTCACAGGATGTTAAGCTGGGGTCATGACGCACAATTTAAGAAGGTGCTAAAGGAGGAAGTAGAGGAGGATGAGCCCCAGAAACTGAGAGGGACTCTCTCTGAGTGGGTGGACAAGTAGGAAAGACAAAAGGGAAGTGTGAGGACAACTGAGCCACATCATAAGAAATGGTTCCATCACCTACCTACCTGGTTGTTCAGGTGATTCAAACAAGTCGTCCTCTTATACCCAGTTAAATCACCAAATGCTTCAATCCTTCCCCATAGATGCCTCTCAAATCCCTACTTACCACAACAGAGAACCTTCATTCCCTATAATGCACTATAATTTTACTCCCTCAGTAAAAACTTTCAAGGATGTCCAACTTCTTGCCTAGGCCTAACTCCTGAGTCTTATACCAGGTTAGCCCCATCATGAAATCAGCCCTGATGATACTGTTTCACTTCCTGGGACATACAGTATTTACTGCCTTTGAGAATATTCTCTCCTCTATTCTGTACCTACTTAACAATTACTGATTCTTGGAGACCCCATCATAAAAGTACTTCGTCTGGTGGCTCCCAGTTACCTACTCCCAGAGCATTCCTTATTTACAACCTCCTTTCAAAACAGCTTTCAATGATCTGTTTAGTATTTATCTTGCCAATCAATTCAATTGGACATTAATCAGGCCAACCTAGAAGGCCAAAAAGAGAATAAAGATAATCAACTTACCAAAACATTACAGTGAGATGGATCCGAAACAATAATTGTCAATCTGGTTAAAATTTTAATCGGTCTTGATTTTCCCTATGATTAAAAACATACTATCAACAAAGCATAAAGTAAAATGGATTGAAGTTTCCTCTTCACCAGTGGAAAAAAATCATTAAAATATACTAGTTGAGGGTCTGTGATACACCTCAAGACATATGCTCGATATATGTGAGGTCCTGGGTTCAACTCCTAATAACCCAAACACAACCAAAAAAACAAAACAATACCTCAAAGTACAGCAATAAGGGTTAATAAGTAGCAATAAAATCTACTCTCTTTGTCCCTAATGTATTTATAGTTAGGTTTAGAAAAAAAGCTTATATGTCTATTAAAATATAGTTTGTGATCATTCAAAGGGCAAGAGACTTCAAGAAAGATCATCAAAAATACACTGAATTGACAGTAACAGAATTTTCATGGAAGAACTGAGTTTTGACAGAAGGGTAAGACTGGAGGCAGAGGACAGAGCCGTGCAGGCTAGAACCAAATATATAACTGGACATGTCTAATGGAATAATAGGTATTATGCATCTCAAAACACAAACACCTACCTGTACAACTGGCAAAGTTGTGAAGAGTTCAGAAACAGCTACTGGTTTCTCAATTTCCTGTTAACAATCAATAGTTACCCAAATTTGACATATTAATGAGATGAAACATAACAGAAAAACTACAAGGTTCCCACCCACTCATGCAATTTTTTTTTTTCAAGAAAGCAAGCTAACTGATGGTATCCAAAAATACTAAATAAAGTGCAGAGGAGTAGCTGAGAATATCAATGAACAGAGAGACAGACTCTTTAGAGAGAAATAAGGTACAGTTGTTGACTGAAACAGAAATGGAGCGATAGCACAGCGGGTAGGGCGTTTGCCTTGCACGCAGCCAACATGGCCGAGTTCGATTCCTCCGCCCCTCTCGGAGAGCCCGGCAAGCTACCGAGAGTATTCGATATGCCAGACACAGTAACAACAAAGTCTCCAATGGAGACGTTACTGGGCCCGCTCAAGCAAATCGATGATCAACAGGAGGGCCTTTTACCAGTATGTTTATGAGGAAAGTCAATTTGATAGGGTCCAAGGAAATAAAATTAAAAGGGCTAAATGTTAGTAATTATAGTTTTGTTGAAATAAATGCACTTCTTAACTTACTGCAAGTGATTAAAAAGTAAATCAAATTTAGGAATGCTTACACCCTGCTTTATTACATTACCCAAATGCTTTTCTTACATATGTATTGGCTCAACTGTTAACATATAAGACAAATGTACAAAGAAAATAAATTTCAAAAATATACTCAAGCCAGGGAGATAGTTCAATAGGCTTTGCACGCGGGCGCCAGGAGTGAGCCCAGAACAGTGGGACAGGAGAATCCCCTGAGCACTACTAGGCGGCCCCCAAACAAAACAAAACAAAACAAAACTAGGCACATCTGTAGTTTCTTTATTATTAATATAAATACAAATCATCACAAATACTGGTTATTAAACCTCAAAAATTATATCTTACCTGTTTCTTTTCCTTAAATTCAACAACATGATTGATGGCAACAACTGAATAGCCAACTGAAAAGAAGAATTGAACATACTCGTTAAACAAAAGAACTTCCGTTATAGGCTCATCCCAATTCCTGAAGCTGAGACTAGGAGGCAGCCGAGTGATTAGGGCCTGCTCTCCAACCAGAGCATTATCACTTACATGTAACTTAACCTTAAATTTCAGGCATTTATCTGTCATGCGGTTACAACAGACCTCACCTCTGGGGCTGACCTGAGAATTAGATGAGTTGACATGGTGGCGCAGGGCACGCTGACCTCTGTGATGGATTAGTAATTTGACCCTCAACTTACACTTTGCCTTTCCAATTACCATACTCTTTCCTGCCCTGTATTTCATTTTCAAGTTTATATTTTTATCAAGTTTATACTTTTTTTTTTTCCTTTGGGGGACAAACAAGTGGTGCTCAGGACCCTGGAAGCTACGCCTCAATCAGGCTGTTCAGCTGCTGCCAGATCTCGAAATGCACGGGTACTTAGTTCAAGGCCTGTTGGTGCTGGGGATCACCAGGGCCACGCCTGTCATTGCTTGGCAGCTCCCAGGGCTTCAGGGCCCGAGTGGTGCTGGAACCTATGATGGGTGCACCTAAGGCAAGTACCGTAACTCTCGTACTATCTTCCAGTCCCAAGTTATAACTTTTTGACTCCTATCTTCAGTCTCACTCATTTCACTAACTTTTTGGCTTTTTCCACCCCCTTCAAAGATGCGTATCCAACTTAAATACCAATGAGGACAACAAAATATTAATATTTAGAAATACTTATTAGGGCTAAAATGTGGTTCTCTCTTTAATTTGTTCAACTTCCTCCTTTTCTTTCTCCCTCAAATATTTATTGAACAGCCTTTACTTGACAGGCTCCATGCTAGCTGTTGAGACTAGTCTGAGAATAAAGAATACAAAAATGTAACAGTACAATCAATTATTCTTAAAGAGCTTATAGTCTACTTAGAAATAAGGTAATTAAAGAAGTAACTGCATATATGTGTATATCTAGACATTTTAGAAGTAAATATTTTATGCATACAGTATAATAATGAATCTGGAGCCTGGGTTCAGAAAAGGCCTCCTCGCAGAGGTATCCTAAAAAGCAAAAACCAGAAGATAAAAAAAGATAGCTGCCCAGTTCTTAGAGGAGTCACCTGTGACTCGATCTTTACCAGTCATCCTGGCCATCCCTCGTGTCTTTCAGAAATGTGAACTAGATTCAGTTTTTCCACAAAACTTTCCCTAGATCACCCTCCCCTGGCAACTTTGGAGCCATTCCCTTCTCAGTCTTGGGTGTAAGCTGGTTTCTTAAATCATATCATAAACTAAGAACTGGCATTGCCATTTTTAGTCTCTGAACACATCCACGAACCGTGTAGCACTTTACCTTTTGACTTAGAAGGCAGAGTCATATGTAGTCATATGTATGACTCCCATTTACTACTTAAAGAAATGAAGATTGGCTAACCATGCATATTGGCTTTACCATGTCTCCTTCAAACGTTTTGAAATTGGGGCAATTTTTGAAACAAGCAATTAGACACCTACTGCTTTCTAAAAGTTGTTCCGTTTACTAGTACTTTATCTCGGAAGCCCTAAATGGGTTGCTGAGACTACCAGGTACCCAAAGAAGAGGACGACCATCCCATGCAAAAGCTGCTCACGATGCTTTCGGTGAGTGAGTGGCACCAGGAAAGTTTCTCTGAGGAAGCAAAACAAGAATTTCACACTGGAAAATATTTTTCTTTTAAAGGCGCTGCTCCTCATGATGGTCTGAGCTGGTGGTACTGCCTGTGAGGGAGCCGCTGGATCTACATCCAGCGGTGTGGGCCGGGCCACGTGGGGTCTGACATGAACTAACAGCCTAGTTCATGATTGGTATGTCTTCCACTTAGGCTATTTCTCCAACTCCAGAGAAACATTTTTAAAAAGTATCAAAAATAGGCTGAAGCCATAGTACAGCGGGTGGGGCGCTTTCCTCTAGGGCAGCCAAGCAGGGTTCAATCCTCAGCTTCCCATATGGTTTCTGGAGCACTGCCAGGAGTAAGCCTGAGTGCAGAGCCAGGAGTGATCCCTGGGTATTGGCGGCTGTTACCCCAAAACAAAAACAACTAAATAAATAAACAAAAAGAGATTGAACAGCCCTAAATGAGCCAGATCCCATCTACCCCTTTCTTTCGGCTAATGCAGAAAATCCCAGAGATAATGCTAATCAGAGCTGCAATGGATCTCTAGGATTGATCCAGCACCTCCCGTATTAATCTCTTCATTTATAAATGAAGAGTGTCTCCAAACTTAACCCTCTAAGGAAGCGAACAGTAAGTATGAGTAAATCGGATCATTAAAACCGGAGACATTCGCTTCGCCTGGAGTCAAACATCAGACATTCGAGCATCAAGGCTCCGCCGCTCCCGTCCCATCCCTTTTCTCTCTCCGTCTTAGCTCATTTTACTCCGACATTCGCATCCCCATTGGCCCTTTTTTTTTTCCTGGACCCCCCAGGGCTCTCCCACGGTGCACTAGCTCCCTAGCTGCGTGCGTCCGTCGAAAGAGCAAGAAAGGAGTCATATTCGAAAGCACGGGAATAGTAACCACTTTTGCAAGCCTTGGTTTCTGCCGCTGCTCATCTCTGTGGCCCGATGCAAACTCCGACACGGTGAGGCTCCCTAGCACCCACCAGCCCCAGGAAAGCGGGAGGAGGACTCGGTTCGCCACTCCCCTCTGCCTCGAGTTTCCCACCTCCGGGATTACCGGGAACGCATCAGCGTCCCCCAAGTGCCAGGAGACGTGGCAGGGGGCGCGGCCCTGCCGGTCTCTCCCGACCCGGGACTCCTCTTCCGGGGGACAGAGAGGCCGGACGGGCCCGGAGACTCGCGTTTTCGGGGAGACTCACGGTGAGCCGCGTTCTCCACCAGCCCGCGAAGCGCCTTCAGGTCCGAGCTCACGCGCAGGTCCAAGTCCGCAAACACCGCCATGCTGAGGTCACATGACCGCCCGCGCCCCGCGCCACGCGACTGCCGGGCCGCGCGGGGCACGCTGGGAACTGTAGTTTTCCTAGCACGTCCGCGCTTCCCTCCCGGTTCATGGATTGATTGGCTTTTTAACGCTAAGATTCCCGGGGATTTCCCCAGCCTTCGAGTTCCAGCAAAAATCAGTGTGTGGAAATCAGCAGCTTCGCTTCAGAATTTCTTTGTCTTCTGAATGAGAACGCAGAGCTTCCCCGGCAGGGGTTCATCTCTTCCTCGTTCCCGCCGATAAAATCAGGCAGAAAGTGTTCTTTCAAAATGCATTTGAGAGTTTAGTACAATACCAGAAATTCTTGCTAGAATTTCTGATTGATAGAATCCTAAGAAATCATTTTTTCCCCATTCCCTAAAGTCCATCTCTTTGTTGAACAATGAACTTTTTCGCACGAGGGGAGGACCGATTTGAAGATCCGAAAAAAACTTTCACCTATTCATAACTGCAGTAACCGTCGTTAGCCACGAGATGGCAGGGCTGTCTCATACAAGAGCGGTTTGCAAAGCGGTTCAGTAAAGATTGATTTTGAAGAGGTGTAAAATTAAGATTTTTTTTTTTTGCATTTTCCATCTGAGACAAGTACAGGATGGTGTCTATCCCACACAACGGTATTCCCACATTTTTGTCCTCGTATAATGTACTCCTGAATATTGATGTATCTATTATTCTACAACAGAAATTCGTGGAGCTATAGTTCACATCAGTGTTTCTCAAACTACCTGTGTCAAAGAACCAGTTTTTGTTTCATCATTTAAGTATCTGCACACCAATATTTGATCATTTCTAGACCTTGTAAGGCACTTTATTTCATAACATCCAAACTCAGCTGAATAAGGAGTCATTAGGTTTTCACACCAGTGTGCTGTAAACATTTCTAAACAGCTTTAATTTCTATGTTCACTCATCACCAACAATTCCTTGCTCCATGACTGCGCCTAAATTAGTATCCTTTTACATTATTTCTTTACTGGCCTCAGGAGGCAGTTTTATTTTATTTTTCAGAAGGAATTTTAAAAGAGCTCTGTTCCGTGTACTATTGTGCACAGTTCTCTTGCTTGAATTTTTAAAGAAATCTTTTGCTTTCTCCAATACTTAGTTTCTACGTAAGAAAAAAAATTCTTCTATACATTTTCTGTTGCTTTTCATAAGAAAATCTAGTACTAATTTGGTAGGATCATAGTCATCTTCACCCAAAACAACCAGATCTTGATTAATCATATAGTATATAAGATTTTATTGTGGTGAAGGTAAATAAGATGAAAATTTAATTATTTGATGTCAACATTAGGTGAACATTATCTTTTCCTCAAAAGTTGTGCTATTATCAACTGAATCCTTTAGATTTTTTCTTTTATTCATCTTCACTCTGAATCTATGGGAAAAGAAAGAAAAGGGACAAGGAAGAAGATGAAAAGATTATCATTGATCACTTAACAAAGGGCTGGCCAGTTTGGGGAAACACTTATGTATATATCTTAATTTTAATTTTGAAATCAAAGGAGTTCGGAGCATTATTTTTAAAACTAATATTTATATTTCACATCTAAGAAATCTAAGACTTGGTTAATATTGGTAGAACTACATGTGGGTTAATAAGAGTTTTTTTTTTTTAATCTTTCGTTTAGTGTACTGCCTCCTCGACAAAGCAGGTATAGAGAAAAGAGCTAGAGGATGGGAGGGATGAAGGAAAGAAAAAAAAAGTCTAAAGAGAAGAAGGAGGAAGAAGTTTGGGAGGGAAAAGGAAAGAGGTGGGAAAGAAAAGGGAGAAGGCGGCAGAGTGAAAAGATAGGATGGAACAGGGAAAAAGAATCAGAATTTTACCATGACAGATAGCTGAAGCAGCAGGAATCTGGAGCTTGAAAAAAAAACCTGGAAATTCTGAGTGGGAGATAATAATTCACTCTAAGTACTTTCCATTCATATTTTGCTTTAATATTCACACCAGTCAATGTGAGAGAAATTGTTGATCTTGTTCTGTGAAGGAAGAGTCCCGGGCTCAGAGAGGACACTTCTCAGACATTGCCTCTTCCTTGTGGGGGTTTAAAAAGAGAAAATGACATTCATACAACTCTTGGGGCTCTTCTTAATCTGCTCAAAGAGCTCGCTTTTGTGGGTTTCCTCTAACTGTTAGTGTGTGACTATTTAATCATTGACCTTGTTCTGCCTTCATTTGGTTCACCCTGCCAGGATGAGGCAAGAAACACTAGCCCATTTTCTGTCAGCTTGGTCTGAAGGGGAGCAAGGAAGGAAAGCAAAACTATTACCTGATACACACAGGTGTGTCAAGAGCACCTGGAAGGGTTTTCTTTCTCCCAACTGACCGGGAAGTTTAGGAGATTTAAACAGAATAGCGGATGTTCACTAGAGCAAAAATGCATGAATTGAACTAAATGCTGATTCAAGAATCTAAGAACAACAAGTTGCAGAAATCTAGATATTCAGAGTGGATCGCCATGTGTGGCCCCCAAACAAAGCAAAACAAAAAACAAACAACAACAATAAAAACTCAAAGTAGGTGGTATTCAGTCAAAACTTGCATACTTTATGTGATCCCAGGATCTCTTGTCATTGTATCCATGTCAACACAAGTATTGCACTGTTAGTTGTCCTCAAGCATCTACATGGCCAGAAATCCACTGATTTGGGTGTATGGTTCACTGCTTCGAGACACCAAAATTCCAGACAGAGATTCAAAAATAGATCTTGTAGGATATCAGCAAGTTGCAGAGATGCCTCCAGACCCCATGCCAGTCTGAGTCTCATTACGTGCACCCCGGAGGTGGGGTGGGTAAGTCCACCACCCACCCAAACAGAGCCATGACAACCAAAAACCTCCATAAACCAGTGGTCGCCATGCTCACGGTTGGCTCCACAGTCTCGGATGAGCCTCATCTGAGAACAGGGCTGCTGAAAAACTCAGGTATGCAGGTTTTGTGACCGAAATCTCCTCAACCTCTCACATCCCTCTGTTCTTCTGGGATCCTGGCAGTCACACACATGAACTGCCTCTGGCAGTGTATAAACTCATTAACTGGCCATGATTCAGAGACTCATAAATAAATTTTGAAGATCAACAAGCTGCAGAAATGCTTTGGGACACCAAAGTAAAACATTTAACTCCAGCTGTCTCACTCCATTCAAAATTAGAATTCCTGGAGTGTGTGTTCACAGCCTCAAGGCTTCTCATACTCTACACCACTGATACACCTGGAGTGGCACACCACGTTGGAAGGGATACAAAGTAGAAGGCAACCAATCCCAACTATCACTGTATCACTGTCATCCCGTTGTTCATCGATTTACTCGAGCAGGTGCCAGTAACGTCTCTATTTCTCCCAGCCCTGAGATTTTAGCAGCTTCTCCTTATTCATCTTTTCCCAACGATTGGAGGCTCTTTCAGGATCAGGGGAATGAGACCTTTTGTCGTTACTGTTTTGGGCATATCGAATACGCCACGTGGAGCTTGCCAGGCTCTACCCATGTGGGAGGGATACTCTAGTTAGCTTGCCGAGCTCTCCAAGAGATATATACACACACACACACACACACACACACACACACACACATATATAATTTGTTGCCTACTGTCTGAAACCCATCAAATATGGTGTGGTAATTATGAAAAATGGGTAGGAAGTGTCTTATAATGTGTTTGAAAAGCGGCCTGAAGGGTGGCGGCAGTTGGGTAGTAGAGATCAGCTGCCGGGGCTGGGTCTCTAGGGGTGGGGAGGGCTCTTGCCTGACCCACTCTGGGGCACCCTGAGTGAAAACAGCCTGGCGCAGAATCCCAACTAAGAAAATATTAACACACAAGGTTTAACTTGAAACAACATATTAGTAATCTCTTATACAAGGGCTTAATTGCTCCAGGGTGAGATACAACAATCTTCACACACTTTTTTTCTAAGGAAATATTTTTTGATCATTTTTAGCGAATTATTCATAACCAGCAATAGAAAATAAATTATTTAGGGCATGCTGTTGGGGCAGGCTTGGGTGGCAGTTGGGAAAATTGGAAATAGTGGTAATGGGAAGGTGCAATGGTGGTGGAATTGGTGTGGGAATATTGAATATAACAAATCATTGTGAACAATTTTGTAAAAATAAAATTAAATTAAAAATAAGAGGGAGAGGATAGGAAAAAAAGAAATCAAAGGGGGAGGAAGAGAACAGGAAGTAATGTGTGAACAGGCATCAGGGCTTCAATTTTACCGATGATATGGGTTAGTGGTATAACCACATATACAGACTCAGAAACACAGACTCAACAGAACTGAAAACATGAGACTTTAGCAGCAACCACTGAACTTTTGTAATGTTCCTGTTAAGTTGACAGCAAGGGATAGGTTGAGGGTTGGAATGTGGAGGGAATATGGCAATTATTGGTGGAGGGACACTAGTGGTGGGATTGGTGTTAAAGTATTAAATGCCTAAAACTCAACTATCAATAACTTTGTAAATCACAGTTCTTTAATAAAAAAAATGAAGAAAGAAAGAAGCAATGATAGTGATTTAAAAAAAAAGAAAAAAAACACCCAGATAGAGGTCCTCTTGTTCCAAATGATAGGTATTATTCTGTGCAAATGGAGAAAAAGAAGCTTTTTACTCATCACATAGCTGGCTAGTTTGTAAGGTGAAAAACTCCTGCCCAATCTCTCAAATTATAGTAGAGAATTTAATAACCAAATCTATAACTTAGAACTCCACAGGATATAAATAATCTAAGAATCCTTTAAATAATTCTCCTTCACCATTTTTTCCTTGCCTCAGAATTAAGATACTAATATCATGAAAATGTGTTTATGTTCTAAGCTGCCTGCAATCTTAGAATTTTTAAAGTGCAATTAAGATGAAAGTGAAACATTTTTATTTGTAGGCTTCTATCAAAAGTTAGAAAATGAAAGACAGATGGAGAAGACTTGTATGTTATAAAAATTAACATGAGAGCTTGGTTGGTTGTAAAAATAAAG